TATAAGCGTATAATAGTCCAAAGAAATAAAAGAAATATTTTTTTTATTTTATCTTTCTTAAATTAAATTCTTCATAAAACAAAAATCTTATAACTGTTATTTTTTTATATCAAATATTAATTTACAAATAGATTTCTTGAAAATTTGTCTGAACTCTTTTGTTCATCTCTTGTTTTGCTTGAGTCATCACTGTAGAGGAATTGTCTTTTGATCAACTCCCACTTTTCCAATGTGAAATAATAATATACCGATATACTTATACACACATTATTATTATTATATATGTATAAAATTCTGGCTTTTCCATCATCATCATCTTTTATATGCCAAAGGAGAACTCACCCCTTCGCTTTCCATTCCAACATATATATTTTTTTCGATTTCCAATCCTCAGTCTGTGTATATCTAGCCATCGGCCGCGATTGCCCATCCGACCGTGCAACCCCTGAAAATAAATCTTTACGCTGGAACGGATCGCAGTTGTTGTTCGCGAGCTGGATTTAAAAAATAAAAATACAAAATGATGAGAAAATATATATATTCGAAGAAAATGAAAAAAAAAAAAGATTCTCAGAGATATGACAGAAAAATAAGAGTAATAATATTTTTTTATTTTTCTGATAAAGTTTTTGGAGATTATGCTGATATTAAGTTCTCATCATTTTACAGCACCAAAAATATACTTTAACATTTTAGAGTACACCAGTCAACGAGTATAATTTTTAGTGAATCCATCGAGTGAAAAATCTGCTGTATAAAGAATTTCTTTTCCAATATCACAAAATAATATTTGTAATTTTTGCAATGATTTATGTAAGCCATTGTAAAAGCTATTTAGCACAAATAAATCAAACTAATATTTTTTTATAGTATTTATGATTTATTTGAGCAATAGAATATTTAGCTTTAGTTTTTTGTATAAAATTTAACTCGTAATTTTTAAAGATTTTACCTTAAATTTCAATATTAATTCATAATTATTAGTTTTGGGAATAGATAATCAAAAAGTTATCTAAATCAGATATCAACATTCGAGTTAAAATTCATCTTTACTTCCCTCCATGCTAAATGAGTTTTTATTTTATTGTCAACAATATAGAAAACATTTTCTAAAGCACTTTAAATCTTCACTTTTAAAAATAAGATAAGAAAATTAACTTACTAAACTAATTAAAAAACTTAGTAACTAATTTATACATCGGGGTAAAACAGGTTTAAATGACATTTCATATAACTAATGGTCTACATTACATTGAATACTGTTTTTTTAACTAATTTTTACTATATTTAAAATATGTTTTATGTTATTTTTCGAAGATACAAAAAATAATTTTTTAAGATTTGATGATAGCCATTTTGTAGATAAGTTTTAAAGAAATATTTTGATATAAATACTGTTATTTCAATTCATTAGTTACGTCTCTACAGAATTTTGATGTTTGTTAAATTAAGAATTTTTTTACGATTTTTCTGTGGTTTTAAATGTTACCCACGTATATAAAGAATGGAAGTAAATATTGTCTTTTTACGTTGTTTACTGGTGATAGTATGCGACTTGTAATTCATGTGAAAACACAAGAATTAATAATATTAAGTTTATCAAAAATATTAAAAAACGATATCTAAAACATGTTTTTAGATTTGTTACATTCTGTATAAATAGATTGTTGACCAGTTTTTTCATGAATAACAACAACAAAAATGATAAGATAAAAAAAAACAACAACAAAAGATAACATAATGAAGAAAAACAACAACAATTATGTCAAAAATAACTAGAAAACAAGTCAAGCTGTTATTATAGCTCCAACTTCCAGCCATTAACTATCCCTCTCAATACAATCTTTACAACAAATTATTAATATATAAAATATATATCTGAAAGTATTCATAATAACAATATCAGAAACATTAAATGATTATTATAAAATGAAAAACAGAATTTCATTTTGAGACGTCGGTATTTATATGTTGTGCTGTAAGTGTATGTTTTCTTATGATAAAAAAGACGCACTTTACAGTGCAATAGCTTATTATGTCATATCTATAAAATTGAATTTGTAATATTAAATAAAATTGTTTATCAATAACAGAGAATGATAAATTCGTTCTGTATATAAGTACTGTATATTTTGAGTTACTAAATTAGAGTATTCATTGTGCAAAATGAGGTCTACGCCAAATGCATTATAATATTAATATGAATTATAATTATCATTGTTGTTGTAGCGACATATTGTGTTTTATTGGATATTTTCAGAATAATATTATTGTCTATATATTGCACTTATTGTCTAGGATCTGATCGACGCGCCACGACGGTAAAAATAAAAAAAAAACCGGGAATGAATGAATAAGAATGACTGTTTTATACTTTATTAGTTTATAATAGAGAAATTCAATGTTTTTTATTATTTCTTACAAATAAAGTATTTCATTTTATAATTAAACTACATTACAACATATTAAAAACTAACTAGTTTTTCTAATAATTTGACCGTATCCTAAACCTAAAAAAAACAAATGTCTATAACCCGAAGTCGAATTTTTAGCGGTTCCGAAGATTTGTAACTACTGAAAACATAAAAGTCTCAGTCCCTGATTTGTGCATTTAAACTGCTATAAGGTTATTATTTAAATTTTTTTTCAGAGAATTAATGAATGTGTTATTGATATTTTTACAACTACTACCAAAAATTATAAAAAGATATTTTTTGTACAATTAATTATCAAAACCTATCGTCTCCTTTGACTAATAATTTTGTATGGCGTCTTTTTTAATGATTTCTTTTTAAATAGATAATTTTTACAGCCAGGGCAGCAGTATATGCTCTAGCTTTATACACATTAGCTATTTACTCGTAGATATATAAAATATATAGATATCCATTATACAGGTAAAAAAAACGCATCTTAGATGACGTTTATATTGAATGTCCAGTAAGTAAGGAAACAGGTCATTTGTTATAAACAATGAGAACAATAGAGATCCGTGTCCTTACTTACTGAACACTCTATATAAATTTTTTTAGAGTTATCCAGCTAAAATAATGATAATTCTATTTTTATTTAAATAAATTATCAAAACAATTACATAGATTTTACCAACACTAATAGTCATTGTATTGCATGTATTTAAAGAGTACATGAAAAAAAAAAATTCCAGTCATCTTTTCAAAATTAGGATAATTTCTCATAGTCGTAATATATTTTTAAGTCATCAAATTAGTAATAAAAGTAAATTAGTCGATATTTAAAGCCGTTGAAAGTTTTGGCCTATTGAAAAAAAAAGATAAGTAATTTATAATTCGGAAGAAATAAATATTATTAACATTAATAATGTGTCAGTAATGATCGAGTGTTAATCATATATAGATAAAATTTTCAAAAATTTGCATATTGCAAAAATTTATTATGCCTGGTTCCCGTTTAGATGATTTGCGTGTTTTTTTACCTGTTTTTAGATGATCTACCCAGTTTTTCCTAAATATGTAACAATAAAATATTATAAAATCCTAAAAAGATGGGTTTTCTATTATATTTCAGTGTACATGTTATTAAATGTTGCAATTATAATTTAGTTTTTTTTTACTAAGTAATAAATTTCTACATTTAATCTCGTTTAAAATTATCAATTTGTTAAAAATATTTTTTGTCGTTTTGAAATTTAGAACGTTATTTTTTCAAATAAGTGTCTATAACGAATCTTTTTTTTCCTTTGAACTCTTCATGTATAAACTATCAAGTTTTGTAAATTATTCCTTTTAAAAAAAATTTCTTTTTATATGTATGCACTTTATTCATGGTGCATGTCAAGTATTACTGATATCGCCATTGTTAGCAATATTCTTCAAATAGAATATTGCGATAATGGGCTGGAGCAAAATAAATACAGACAAAGGAATGAGGCGAACGTAACTTTTTACATAGTTTAAACAAAAATTCATGTGTTCGAACAAAGAATTCATTCATACCGACGTGTAATGTATGAAAATATAACGCATTTGTGCGAATATGCGGTCGGTAAGATGGGGTCGAAATTGTCGTTACTCCAATACAGCCGGCGTCTAAAATACATATTATGCTGATTTTTATAGCGTGTGGGACCTTCCGTGAATTTTTACAACCGAATTCGACGGAACGTTTTAATGTGGAGACGACAATAAAAAACACGAGAGACCAGATCGCTGAAAATTGTCGTAAAGATTCGTGTAGCATTCATTAATTTCGGTTCATGAACATCATCGCCGTCTTAGTGAACTTCATTTCTTCTTACACTGCAATAACAATGCAAAGTCCCCACGTCATTCGACGGTGGAGTTTAAATCACGCCATTTTGAATAATAATCCTAACTGACATAAAATTATGCCAGGAATACTTCCACGTTTCAACAGTAATTTATGTAGCTTTATTTTAATATACTTGTACGCTATTTATCGTGTGCATTACTTAATAAATAAAAAATATACACGTGTATGATTTGTAATATATCATTAAATATTAATGATATTATGGCTTCCAATAATAAAACTATACTATTTTGTTAGATGTTCATATTTACAATTGAAACATCAAATTTGTGTAATTTCATTTGCTTTCGTTGAATTTCATGATATCTTTGGCATTTAAATTTTAAATGATATATTAATATTGTAGTAAAATCGTATCAAAAATTTTAATATAAAATTCTTTATACACGTAATGTTCCCTAAGCAAATTCTAAAAACAAAATTTGCATTCTAAAAATTAAAATTTTTATCTTAATGTCATCAGTTTTTTTTATCATGACTTTTTACCGATTNTATTTTAAATAGAAAACCTGCAAATGTGGCATCACCGACAAATTCTTCGACGGATGTTTCTTCACTTGTAGAAACACTTTTATCATAAAATGAAACTTGAGATACAGGCTCCCAGGAAACAACCAATAAATCCTCTTCCGTTTCTGTTTCCATATGGACTGTAGAAACAAAAAAAAAAAAAAAAAAAATAGCACAGATTTTAAACATGTAAGTATACTTTATTATACATAGTTATTATTTTTTAATTTGGATTAAATTTCACAACAATGATTGTAGTATGGCACACACGTTCACAACCAATTGACACAATTAATTTTAGTAATACATAAACAGGTAAAGTATTACTTGTGTTAAAGATGCTCCTATAGATATTTTTAGTTTTGTAACGTGATGTCTTATTGCAGATCATAATTTTAATTGTAAGTCTAATAAATATTTCTATATAATAAAATACATAAACAAAGCAAACAAGTAAACAGATTATAACAATATCAACGCTAGTATAATAATGGGCTGAAAGACAAACTAAGGTAAAATATTTTTACATTTTCATGTAATTCAAGATATGTAATTACAGTAATCTAATAAAATAAGTGTTATATTTTTTGGTTTTTATTTTGGTGTTACGTTTTCGCAGTTAAAAAATTAGATACAATAAAAATGAGATAGTAAATTATTTTATACTAAAAAAAATAAGAAAACAAAGCAATGAGAAATCAATATAAAAAAAAGTAATAAAAATATCACAAAAATTGGATGAAAAATTTAATTTGGCCTCGTTTTATAGTTGAGTTATGGCAGACGTACTTTATACTTAAATACTATTTCTTAAGTTATTTAAATAGGAACGCCCAAGTAAATTATTAGGTTTTAGCACCTATTTTCTATTTGTATTTGATAAACAACTGAGCTGAGTATATTTATAACATATAATTAAGAAATAATGCAATAATATAAAGAAAGACAAATATTAGATTAAGTTACTTTGACTAAAAAATTATGAATAAAATTTTTTTACACATTTATGGCATTTGAGAAGATGAAACTTCATGTTAGTACTAAAGTAAAAATTCTTCAAATGTTTTATCAAAGTTCAAAAACCATTTATAAAAAAACTTATAACATGTATGTAAATATAAAAAGAGCAAGTTCTTTTTTCATAATTTTTGAGCATTTTATAAATGATAGTATGAAGTATTTTGGATGCTGTGTATTATTAATTAGACATCAACATAATATTTTGGTAACTATCGATTGCCACTCATAAGTTAACATATAGTAAAAAACCAGATTAACGACCTGATTTACCAGTTGAATCATCTTTCTGAATACCGTTTATTTTTATCTCATTTACCGAATGAGACCGATAGTGTTGATGGGAATTACTGTGAACCGACTCTCGTGTCCCTGACGGTGGAAGTACGTGGTTGGCAGAATGTGACCTTGTATGGCCATTACTAGCAGCTCGAGAATTACTGGCAGTTCTTGTTTTCAGCGCCATCTGATATGCTACCTCGAACGCTTGGCCTAATGTTAATATAATCTCAGTAGCTTGATCCTGCAATCATAAGTATAAACTATATCCTAAATAAAATAATACCACGGAAAACAAAATACATATGAGATTTCAAATTAATTTATCAAAGCTTTTCAAGGCTGGATTCAGTATTGTTTATCTATGAAGTAAGTCAAAAACCTCCACATTTCTAAGTTCAGCCCTGCTTGTTTTTCCATTTTTTAATTACATCATAGAATTTTAATCTGAACATTTTAGATTATTCTATTTAACTGTGACGATTTATACAAATTGTTATTAATAATTGATAATAACAAATTGATACTATTTATAATTATTATTGATAGAATAATATATGTATATAATAAGCAAGAAAACAATAACTGATCACAGTATACAGTAGTTTTGCTAAGTATTAGTTCACCTACATTTTTTTTTATTTAGTAGTATCGATAAGAATTTTTAACAACCTATACTTTTGTATTTTGTTCATATTCTTGTTTAGATCGTATTATTAATAGTCGTTATCGTTCATAATAACTTAAAATCGATATTTACAAAATATACATTTTGTGCATTCAATTCAAGTTTATTGTTTTAAATATAATATGCATTTCGTAGCAAAAAAATAAAAAATAAATAACGGGGTGAGAGGAGAAAGATAATAGAACTTAAAACTAGAAGAGACAACGCTTGGTTTCGGATGCTCTCTTTCAACTTTGATTAAAACAAACTATAAACAAAGAAATTTGCAATAATTGTACAGACTGACTTATAAGATGGTTTGTGAAACCTTAATACTCATACGGTTTTTTCTTTAGTAAAAGTATCTAACTGTTCTACATTAATAATCTAAAATTATTTGTATACGCATTAAGGCGTTAAAAGGTATCTTAGAGTTCATCAGTAAGTTTTATGTAATTCAAAAGAAAATAAAATATAAAAGAAAAAGAAAGAAATAATAGAAGTACATTATAAAGAAGATTAACAACGTAGTTATACATTTTTTTTAAATATTTCTTACCATAGTCGATACGCTAAATACATGGCTGTAATGTGAACTTGTATGGTGGTCTTTTGTAATGTAAGCAAAATGATTTAAATCATCGGCATCTTGACAAGCACAATTGATATTACGAATCTCATGTTCACAAACTGATGCTCCACTATTTGGATCCATAAATCGAACACCTCTATAGGATATGACGAGAGCTACGACAGGAAGTGATTTTCGTGTGCCATTGGCGATGGTTTGCTTTAGCTTTTGAATTGACAATTTGGTGGATTCGGTTCCTCTAGGTTCTTTAACTTCAGTTGAACCCAAGTACTAATTTATAATGGAAGAGATCTATAAATTGTAGCACTAAAAATTATTAAGAAACAAAATAACTTACCGATGCAATATATTTAACGTTTCCGGTCACGAGTGCAGTAGGTTGGTGTCTCCATTGAGTAGTCAATGTTGAAGGAACGCCAAAGAGTAATTCCGATGGATCTCGGATTATTAAGTCATTATTTTGATTCGAAGGTAAATTTTGAAAAGGAGGCGGTAAAGGAGCATGTCTAGATTTTTTAGGATTATGCCTAAGAGTTGCTGTACCCGAAACTAATTGAGAACAATGCTTGGAGGGTATTTTATCTTTTAAAGACTGTATATTTTTTTTCTGTAATTTAATAATTAAAAAATATACATATTATATATATATACAGACTGAATATTTTATGATAATCCAATCAATTACTAACAGAATAAAAACAATTAAAAAAATTGTTTTTTGGTTACCTTTAGTTACATATTATTCTTGAATTCTAAGCTATGTAATGTTTTTTAAGTTCATCCTTTATGTCTTGTAAGGGAGTAACTTGTATTATCTTCAGATGTTCAAATGGTAACCCCAAATAATTTTTATATATATTTTTTTTGTTATAAAATTAAAAAATTATGAATTTTAAACAAGATACGCCATTTTAAAATTTACGATATTTGAAGAAAAAATGCAGTAGTTTTTCTAACACTGTCACATTATAATTTTATGTAGCGATAAAAGCTACCGATTTACTTTGACAACACAGGTAGTCTATTACTTAAAACTGGTAGCGCTTATCGATTTACGATTTATAATTTAAGCACATCTGTTGATAAAGTCATAATTGACAATAAAAGTAATTTTCTATTTCGAAAACACAAAGTTAACACCCAAACAAGGAATAAGGGATGAACTAAAAAAGCATTACATAGCTAATAATTCAAAAATAATATGTAACTAAAGGTAACCAAAAAAAATTTAATATTTTATTTCTGAAAGAAATTGACAGGATAATAAAAAAAAGAAAATCATCCTGTACATATACACACACACGAAAAGGTTTGGTGCTAAAATATTAAAGTAGCAATAACTTACAATTTGAACCAGATCATTGCCAATATCATTTAAACCGTCACCCACAGAAACAGCTTGATGCAATTGAGATTTTGTATTTTCTACTGATGACAATATTCTTCGTCTATGTCCAGGTTTATGAATTTCTAATACTGATGTTAGTTCAACCTCCCAAATCCTCGCTATACGTTCCAAATCGATATATAGATGTTTACGGAAAGTATCTATGTAACAAGGTAATCCAATGCTTGTCAGCCATTGTTCAACTTTTTTCGAGCTTTCTTCATTTTCAATTGCGTCAAGATCATCTATAGATTTACTTTTAACTTCGGAAGCGTTTTTTGAGCAGTTTGTGAACCAAAAGTCTTTTACTAATCGAGGTAAATCATTTGCTGCTTCTAAAATTTTTGATCGATCGTTTTCATTTTCAATCCCCATTTCTTTCAAATCAGCTTCAATTAAGACTCCACACTAAAATTATAAAACAATACAAAAAATAGTATTTATATATTTTAGAATTTCCTGAAAATTTTCTTTTATTTGTAAATAAAATATCATATTTACAATAAAATCCAAATTATCATATCCATAATCTATAAATTTTGTTGTAATATCTCCAAAACCTAGCCCGAATAGCCAAGATTTAACTGTAGTTGGACTTTCAATGTCAGTTTGAGATTTTTCTTTGCTTTCCGATCTACTTAATCCTACATGATAATAAAAGAGTCATTTAATTAGGTAATGGCACAGAAATATATGTAAATATAGAGATATAGTTTAACTAACCAAGCCTTGATTGAAATTCTTTTTCTAATTCACTACACATAGATTCTTTATTATTTCCTTCTCCTAGATTTTTTATTAGATCAGATATTTTAGCCCATTCTTCTTGTTCATCAAATGGGCTCAAAATGTCTTTTGAAGAATTTTTAGATTGATCATCTACTGAACCAGGGGACTTAGCTAGAACTGGAGGATCGTAAACTGTTCTTAATTTTCGCAGTGTTTTTGGTCTTTCAGCTCGATTAACATTCACTGATCCTTTCAAGAGACCTTAATTTTGAATTAATGTAATTATTATTTTAAAAAATAAACACTTGTAATATTTTAAATAGAAAACCTGCAAATGTGGCATCACCGACAAATTCTTCGACGGATGTTTCTTCACTTGTAGAAACACTTTTATCATAAAATGAAACTTGAGATACAGGCTCCCAGGAAACAACCAATAAATCCTCTTCCGTTTCTGTTTCCATATCTCTCGATTTTCTTTTTAAATTTATGTATTCCTTTACAACAACAATTGTTAGTTAGAAAAAATTATTATTTAATTAATGAATTCGAGTTAAAAGTAAATTAAGTAATAAATAATTTTATTTTACTTGACTTAAAGGTCGTATTCTTGCATGTATACTGCGTTCAGCTTGAAAAGGGGATGGAGGTGGGTGATCTGGTGTAGGTGGCTGTACATAATGTGTAGGACTTAGAGGCCAATCAGCCGAAGGTGTGTTGGCATTGTCCAAAAGACTTTCTTTTGACGAGGAAATTGTAGTGGTAATGAAACCATTACGATCAGAAATAACGACTTGATTTAAAGTTGCTGGTTCAAGTTCAACGCGTTTAAATTGCAAATCACCTCGAGATAATATTGCACCAGGATCTTTATCATGACGTTTGAGCTTTCTTCGAGGATTTGTCGTTCGCATAGGAACATTTTGATAAATTGACATTAATGCAACAGGCTCTTCACTTAATTTTGGCCGTAATTCCATATCAACATAATGATCAGCAGACACTCCTCGTCGCATTGTATCATTTCTACGGTTAATATCGGAAGAAGGAGAACCAGAAGTTGCAAAATACAAATATTCATAAGGACCACCACTATTAGTAGCGGATACTCTTAATGGTGAATCAGTTTCAGGTATCAGTCTTTTTGATGTCATAGGCTGTGCATAATTAATAACGATAATAATAAATTTTAGTATTTTTTTTACCTTAATTTGACTTTAGACAAATAACTTACAGATATATTAGATGTGGCTGGGCTTGATGGGGCCATTGGCAAATAGAATGAGGAAGACGTGGGTCTATGACCACTAGAAGCAGTTGAAGAACTAATACTAACAGTATCTAACTCTGGACCAGAAAGAAAATTAGATTCAATTAAAGATCTGGATAATGCAGTCGGTGGCCCACTTTTGTATCCTCTACCAGTAAGATAGTGTCCATCAGAAGAAAATCTAATATATAAAATGTATGAGAAAATAAGCATTGTTTCACATATTTTTAAATAACTCACGCTGAAGATTCAGAAACACGTCGATTTTTATACATTTCCCATCGAGTAGGTGAAGGACTAGGTGATAGCATACCATCGTAAGGACTATTCAATGGAACAGGTTCACTATTTTCACTTCTTTTATCAGGTTCCATATCACTTTCATAGTTATTATTAAACTGATGATCTTAAATGAAAAAAAATTTTTTTATATTTAACTACTACTCATATTTGAAACCATTTTATTTTATTTACTTTGTAACATAGCTGAAATTTCAACAGCAGGCCCTGCTTTTGATGGAAATTGCTTAAGAAGATCCTCAACAGTGCGTCTATGAATATCTCTTATGTGAGTATTAACACCATGATCTAGGAGTAATCTAGCTACTTCAGTCTTGCCACATTGAGCAGCTTCATGAAGAGCTGTACCGCTGCCAGTACGAACATTTACGTCCATTCCGGCATCAAGTAACAGTTCTACGACAGTCCTAAAATAAAGAATGCTTAAAGTTCGAATTTAAAAAAAAAAGTTTTTTTTAATTTAACATACTTATGCCCATTGCGACTTGCTAAATGTAATGGGGTATGTGCAAACATAATACCCGCAGCACGAGAGTTATATGATCTAATCAATTCGGGGCGTTTTGTTATGATTAACTCTACAGTTTCAAACCTACAAATATTATTATATTGTAGTATGAATAAAAGTCGAGAGAGTTTAATAGAAATGTCAAATATTATTCATATTACCTTCCATATTGTGCGCACAAGTCTAAAGCCGTTTCATGTTTGTGGTTTCTTATTGTAGGATCAGCACCATGCTCTATTAGCAGTGCAACTACACCTGAATGACCATATTGAGCTGCACAATGTAAAGGTGTCTCTCGGTTTTTAGTCTATATTTAATAAAAAAAATATTTTTAAATACGTTTTTTTTTAGGGGAAGTGGTTTTAACTATTAAATTACCATGTGATTCACATTGGGAATTGAAGGCCCATGACACAATAATAAACGCACAATATCTACATTACCAGTCCATGCTGCTAAGTGCAATGGTGCAGCGCCTTTATGATCAACAACATTTGTTGATGCTTCATTACATAATAAAAGTTGAACTATTTCCCTAAGATAAAGGAAAATATACTTAAGAGGCATATTAGTTAACTAATAAGAAATACTTTTGTTAACTATTGATTTTAATAAACAAAAAGTTACAAATTTAGTTATGTGCGCCTACTTATATGCATTGAGTGAAGCATGATGTAATGCTGTAAAACCAGACTGATCTTGAGTATTGACACCAGCTCCTCTTCTTAAACTACAATAAGTAACGAATAATGGTATTATCATATTAAAAGAAATTGGTTTTATTAAATATACTTCACAGTAGAATAATTATTTTACTGTTACTGAATAGTTATTAAAATTTAAACTATGTTTAAAATATTGATTTTTAAAAACTAAGCATAGGTAGTTAACTTATTACAAATAACTCAATTACTCACGATATAAAAATAAAATAAATTTCTTTTACATGTATATACAGTATATACTGTGTGTATATATATATATATAATTATTAAATTATGAACCATTAAGAATTTTACATTATGTTTTATAAGAGGACCAACTTTATAATTGTTTTAATTATAACATTAAATGTTAAATATTATTATGTTTATATTATATTTATATTATTTATGTTTAATATTACTTGTAAAGTTAATTCGTCTATCTTTAGTTATATATAAGTATAATTAGGAATATGAGTGGTCGATAACAATTTATGAACCAATAATTCAGAACTTACATTTTTAAGTATACAATGAAGCACAGGTAATTACTATTTTTATCAAACATCTATCAGTGTTCATCTCCCCATACAAGTATAAGATAATTAATAATTTCTACTAAATGGTTTATAAATTGTTATCTAATCCTTTTACTTTTTAATTAGGAATGAAGGAATGAATAAGGAATGAACTAAAAATTTTTTATAAACTGATAAAACGACAACTATGTGTATCTAAAAGTATCGTATTTATTTTGCGAGTTATTTAATGTTTCATAACACGTCAATTACACTGTATATCATTAATTATAATTATTTATTATTTTTTTAATAATTAATAATTAACACATATACTTAGTCATTTAAATTAATAATTAATAATTTTATATGCATTATTGTAATACAAAAAAAGAATGACAAAAAACATTATAATCATTCTACTACTAATATAAATGCATAAACAGTTTATATTCTCTTAATTAAAATACCAATAAAACAGTTAGAACCAATAAAATCAATACCAGTTATCAACTGACATAATTAAAAGTTACAAACGTTAAAGAATTCTACGTTGCGTTTAATATTGAAACAAAAAAAAAATGTAACTGAAATATTTCATTTAGAATAACATAGATAAAAACGTTTTATGAATTTTTTTTCTGGTCGGCAATACATAATTTTTATTTTGAGTATACAAATTCTAGTTGATTGAGAAGAATATTGCAAAACAATATCAATAGTATTTTCTAAATTATTAAAATTAAATGATTATTATTATTACTCTATTTATCTTTAATGTCATCTCTAAAAAGCTTTGAAGGTGTTAGGTAAGACGGGAAGAAAAATCTACATAGCCCAATGCAAAAATTACATTCAAAAATAATTTAAATACTTAGTACACATTTCCTTTTTGTTCCTTTTTCACAATATTTCATGATTTTTTAATTTTATAATCGAAATCGTACTTGAGAAGTTAAATTAAGAGTAATGGAAAGGATCTGTACTAAAGCAAGAGTAATCTATTTTTCAAAACTCTTCAAGAAACTAAAATGGCAATATAATTTTAAAATGTATCAATACATGTTATAAACATGCTTTATATATTAATGTTTATATTTTGTAACCATTATCTGTTAAATAAGCTAGTTAATTATGTATGTTGTCATTTGAAAAAGTAAATTTGACACCCCTATAATATAAGGAATGATTCTAAAAATTAATTAATAACCGATAAATCAAGAAATATATATAACTGAAAAATGTTGTTTTCAACGCTGTATTTTACGAGCAATTGAATGGTTTATGTTACAGGTCATCCTGTAATAGGAGTAATAGGAACAGGTGCAATTTTTAATCAATTTTAAGGGAGGTGGTTGAATTTAACTTTATATTCCCAAAAAATGTATAAAAATGCATACACGTTTTATGTAACTGAATGAAAAGTTGATAATTGAAATTAGTATAACTTTGAGGGGTTAACCCCTCAAACATTAAAATAATTTTTCTTAATACAATTTTAATTTAAGAGCGGAGGAAAAAATTAAAATATTACATCTGTTAGTTCTAAAAAAATTATATTATTCTATTTTCACTTTTGATAAGGAGTGGTTATTTCTCCAAATTTTCTCCAGGCTAAATTAGGAGCAATGTTCAAGTATTTAGGTATACATTTCCAATGCACTCTCAATAATTTAATTTTGCACACTCAATTGGTATTAATAAAAATTACATTATAAAACATAAATTTAATTTATAAATACTCAGATGAAATTATCATCTAAAATTTATATTGTTAAAATACCTGTATAATGAGGTGGAACATTAAAATAGCGTTCTACCTACTAAAGTTCAACAAATAAATGAAATTAATTTAATAATACATAACATCCGTGTCGATTTAAAAAGGATTTAATATCTCACTAAAATATTGCTACCTAGTTTTAATATTCAAATATTTGCTCGCATAAAAATGTTGCTACTAAATATTTAATGAATAGTGTAATTTATTAAAAATAATATACCCCATTTCTTTGTCAAACAATAAATTTATAAAAAAATTACTATGAAACATAATAAATATCACATTTTTTGTAAGAAAAAATTATTTCTAGACATAACATGTGAAATTCAAATAGAAGCTTATTATTATTTTTACTATAAATTAGAGAATGTTTCAAATAAAATTTTGACTAGTCGATAATAATAACAGCATACGAAATGATTCCAAAATTTTCATACGTTAATATAACTCTTTTAATATACACGTTAATTTTACACATAAGTAGTGTATTTTGTCATGAAGTATCAAAAATTTTTACATAAATATGATATTTTTATTATTATTTATTAAAATTTCCCTTTACATTGTATGCGTTAAAAACTTCTAGTAAACGTTTTGGAAAAATTGGACATTTTTTTAATATTTATCTTTGAGTTAATATAATATTTAATTATTGACAACAGTACGTACTGTTATGGTTCTGTTCTGAAGGGATGATATACATAAGAAAATTTTTCACTATCCCCAGCAAATGAAAAAAATTGTGTCTTCATCATTTAAATAATTTTATTCTAGGAAATCTATGCCCAATAGCTCCCAATAATTACGCCTTTATTGTTAAGAAATGCACAATGTAAATCATAAAAATAAAACATTGCTCAACATTATCCTGCTGTTTAATTTTTTTTAATTTTTAATGCTAAGAACTGTTTAGGTGATTTTAGCTAATAATAATATAAAATTACTCTACATTTGTTGACATCTTCCTTCAAATCGCATTCCTTACTTCTACCTTATAGTTACCTTTTCAATATTACTATACAATAGCGCATTTACGGGGAACCAGGAGTTTTGGATGTCCCCCATCGATATTTTTACATAAATATTTTTTAATATATAATGTAAGACTGATACATATTTCGAATAATTTTAATGTTTAGAACTTCCCCCAGAAAAATTTTGAATATCTGCCACAGCTACTATAAACACAAATGACGTTAACACTACGGTATTTCAAATTTAAATATACATTTAAAATTAGAGGATTACTTGAGACAATTTTCTGAACAAAGCATATTCTGAAAAAGTAGGATAGAGGTTCAATCCCTTCCGATCAATATACGTGTTAAAGACGCATTATTATTTCTATTGGAGATCATGGTGAGATTTTTTTTTGTAAACCCTTTAAGAACTTTTATTATGCCACTGTTTTTCAATAATTCTAATTCTATTGAATAGACGTTTGAAGTCATAGACTAAGAATAGAAAACACATGTTTAGAGTGCATCACGACACACGCACGTAAATTGCTCTTTTATCACCCCAGCTCTTATCATATTTAACATTTTTACGGAAATACAAAGTGATAAGTTATTATATTTGTCTTCTGTAATTAAATAGTTTTTTTTTGCTTTTACAAGAAATATGAAATAAAACTGTGGTTACTCAAATAACGCATTTGTAAATTAATTATCTTATCACTAAAAATCTATATTTGAAAAGTACAGCTTAATATGAACATTTTTTGGAATTTAATTGTCATTTAAACGACAATAATAACAAATATACACATATGATAATAAAATAAACAGTATATTATTGTTTATATTAAAACTAGGTAAAATAAAGCAAAATCTGCATAGAAATTCTACGTCAAATATTTTATTTAATATATTGTAATAATGTAATAAAAAACTTAATTAACAAGATAGAAATTGGTAAAGATTATTAATAAGTGATGTTTACGACTCACATCGGTAATTCATAAATAACGAAAAGAATTTGAATTCTTGAATTAATTTTAGTAAATAGGTCAACTGCAACAGCTGTAGGTGGATTGTGGAGCACTTCCACCGTCAACAATAATTAAAATTTTTTTATAGATATATACATTAAAATGTTGGCAGCAAGACATAAAAAATCAAAACGTTTGGAATTCCAATTGATTTTTGTAGACAATCAATCGTTAATCATAATATGCGGGTACAAACTATTTCTTTTGTCGGTAATAATAATTGACTTACCTAGCTAAGGGCCCGGTTCTTTTGGCTTTTTGCACTAGTATTTTTTCAACTGCACTCAAATTGCCAGTTTTGGCAGCAATCACAAGATCTTGGTCTTTACCCATCCTTCAATCTAAGGCAAAATTCTTCAAATTGTTGTCAACTGCACACACCCACAATGCTATGATTTCACATAGTAATACCGTTGATTATCACTTCGATCGGCCGGACAACAACGGTCGCCCGTTCGATCATAATACTACCGCACTATCTTATAATAAATTGCTGGTCACACATCCATTAAACGTGTAATTAGCCATTGCCGCCTTGTCATTAATTATTTTAATGAAAAGATACGAAATTCTATTATCACCATAACACAAACACAGCCACCACCACCGATCGATCACAAGGAGCATCACACTGTACAATGTGATAGGGTAAGAAGGGTAGGGTAACCCGGCTGCTAACAGTATCAGCTGTTCGCAATCAATAGCAACCGAATATATGAAAAAAAATATTAACTAGTGTAATTTATCAATAAACTGTATGTATTCTTTAAAATGCTATATAATTTTATTATATTAATTTTAATATTACGATTTAATGCATTCATAAAAGAATAGCACTATCTCAAAAAAAAAAAAAGAAAACAGTTTGTGTTATTTACAATAATATTACTATAGTTGTACGGTTCCGACAACAAAAATTACTGTTACAGTGTTGCCATCACACACAACGATTAAACTATTGCAAAGGAAGTGCAGTACAGTAGCATTAACTAATTGTATACAATATAATATTTTTAAACATATTTAATCATCTTCATAATACACATTAAAAAAAGTTAACACAAAATACCCGTTATGTAATGTATTCTGAGTAGTATACGCATTATTTTATTATAATACCAAGTGGAATATTGCATTTATAAATATTTTTTTTCAAAATATTATAACTATAATAATTATTTTTTAAATATACAATTACTGTATATTTAAAAAATTACTTAACTTATTAAATAACTGCGTAATTATGACCCTAAAATCTAAGGAACCTTTCTGACTAAAATAATGTATTTTTGTTAAAATTTTTGTGTGATAAAAATTGAATAAAATGAATATTAATTTTATTTTCTTTTAAAAAATAATATTATTTATTTTATTTATTTTATTTAGGTATATAATGCTGTAAAATTATAATTATTAATTAAATAAATTGAATTACGATAAAAATTACTATTAAATATTATAATTGCTTTTGTTTGTACCTAATGATTGAATTGAGACTCATTTCAATTATTACATATATTTGTATAAGGTAAAAGCAGCTATTATTTTTTTAATTTCAATCACATTGTACAGGAGCTCTTTACATTTTTTTTTTCATTGGAACCAAATTTGTTATTTATAACATTTTTATTAAATTAAGTTTTTAATCAGTACTTCTAATTAACTTATAGAAAATAAATTAAACATCAAATACATGTTATACTATAAAATTATAAAAAAATAATGTTTTTGATGATGGTTATTACTTAAAAATAAGTTTAGTGGGGCCAATGAGAAATGTTTAGTACTTTTCTTTTCTTTTTAACACGTCATAAATGAAATGATTATGTATAAAACAAAATCAACATCACTATTTGGTAAGTTTAAAAATTAATAATATATGCTAGATAATAACAAGTCAAACACATAAGTTATATATGTTATTTATTTCAAAAATTCCCAATGTCTAGATAGAAAATGATGAAATTTATTATAACTAGGGGCGTCATTTCAGTTTTTTTTTTGTGTGCGAGATTTCAAGTAGGCAATTTTGAAATTTCCATATAAAAATAGATATACCTACTCCAGTAAATTATTCTTCTTTTAATTTTTCCATAGACTATGAATCACAGTCAACATAAATAGAAAAGATAAATTATAATAATACTTACTTATTTAATATTATATAATATAACGTTACGTCGGAGTTGTAGCAATCGTTGAATTTCATATTTATCAATTTACTACCGTTATCAATTATTGCTGTTAACTGCGCGGCAAAAATGTCACTATACAAAGGGTAGTACAATGGGTTCGTGGTATTCTATGGACGTGGTATAATTGGGACAAGTATAGATGATATCTGACAGCGATTAAAATCACTCTTACAAGAAATACTTCGATGCAAATCTGTGGTAGTTTTAAATTCTAAGAAATTGGTAGATTATTCCAAAAGCAAAATTAACTCCTATTTTTTGTTCTATTTCGACTGTCATTTGTACATTGTACACTAGGCCGTCGGTACAAATTTTTATTTTAACATATATTTAAAAGACACAGTATTCCCGGAACATTTTCAAAAGTTCTACTTTTTATACAAATTTTCAAAAATTCAAAAAGCATTTTTTAACTTTGACGAAGCAAAATAAAAATAAATTTATATTTAATGTAAGTTAGATTTATGCAAATTTTATATTTATTGGCTTACTTATTACTATGGCAAACCTTTATGAGGTATTTAAAAATAAACAAAAAACATTTGTCGAGACAAATCTAAAATCGAAAATTTAAACTCAAGAGTAGCATGTATTTAACTGGGTTAGCTATTTGTACGTAGAAAATAAGTCGTTTTGGACAATTTTTCTTTCAATTTATAGTATGTAACATAAGATTTAATTTAACATTTATTTAAAAGACGAAGTATTTCGGGAACATTTCTTAAATTTCAAGAGGCAAAATAAGAATAATATAATAAAAATTGATCACTTGTGGCTAATTAATTAAGTAAAATTAAAACTATATTAAAAATATTATTAATTTAAAAAAACTAAAAAATATTAAAAATATTAAACTCAAAGCCACAAAACATTAATGAAAAGTCGCGGATACGTATTTCGGAAACAATGTTACCATTATCAACGCTAAACACATACATTTATTGGCTTACTCATTACTATGACAAACTCTTATAAGGTATTTTAAAATAAACAAAAAAAAAATAGAATTTGAACATAAAAATAGTATATTTTTTAACACTACGGCTAGATTGGATAAAGAAGATAGGTCGTTAGGACTAATTTTTTTTTTAATCTACAGTACGTAACATAAGCTTTAATTTGGCATAAAGGACGCAACATTTCTGGAAAATTTTCAAAAGTTAAGTTGAAAAAGTTGAGTTTTGTGAAAAAGTTACTATTTTGAATCCCCTCTTGTGAACAAGTAAAGGGTCAGATTTTCAAAAATATTTTATCAAATAACAAGTAAATTACTTAAGGTTTCAAAATAAAAAATAATTATTTTGATTTGTTTATTTTTCAAGTTATGGCAATTTTTAGAAAATAAAGTAAAAAAAAATATTTTAAAATTTACCGATTTTAAAAATTATAATTTTTTTGGGGATTTTCATAATTTACGGCGAACAAAATTATTTAATTTTTGAGGGTAATATCTTCAACTAGATATAATTTGTGATCTTTTGACGCATTGTTGAGAAAAACGGTCCAGTGAGAGCTGAGAAAAAGTAGTGACAGACAAAAAAAAAAAAAAATAAACATATATTGGTAAAATTAATACCTTCTCAGTTTCGCATCGGAGCTAAAACTGTTACGAACATCAATATCAATATCTTGCGTCTGGTACGAATATCAATAGTTCAGAATGATATATTTATTTTTAACTCAAATAATTGTTAACAGAATATTTGTTTATTGACCCATGTAACTATGATAATACAATGTTTTTGATATTTGAATTGTTGTATAAAAAATTGGTTCATTATTTTTGCAGGCCAATTGGGACTGTTTTTAAAATAAAGGTGCAACCGCCCTCCTAAATGACGCCCCTGATTATATAACATAAAGTTAGATCCACTATTTATGTCTCACACAATGTCTATAAAAGTATCTATATAAATTTTAATATTTTATTTTTAAAAATTATGACTATTTCACACAACTCTTCCTAAATTAATAAAAAAATATAACTCTTCCTTTTCTTTTTCTTTAAAGTTGTATAATTTTTAGTTTTTTTTTTATTGGAAACATTTGATTAATTTGCTGAAAAATAAAAAGAGACATAACTAAGAAAATGACTGGATGATAATAACTTTTGAACAAGTATTTTGGTAGTTATTAACGTTTTTATAATAGGGTGGTAATTTGTAATACATAAATGGCCTAGAAAAAATAAAAACATAAAATAAAAACAGACCCGTGTTTCAACTCGTGATTTTATTAAAGTTTTTATGACTTTTAAAATACTGGTTCGAAGTTGTTATCGACCAGTCATTTTCTTATTGAGATTTTTTTCTTATATGTTAAATATGTATATTTCCATTTAAAAATCTACAGATAATAAAATTTAAAATGGGAAGAAAGAGAGATAGGACTATATTTTTTTGTGTAAATTTAAGTGTACTATCACTTTTGAAAAGAAAAAAATTTGATATTATTATATATTTTTAAAGAGATTCATGAGAAATAGTTATTATCCTGTATATAACTAAAATATCATTTATATATAAGCTCATTTGTATTAATTATATATTCTTGTTAAATAGTAAATCAATATTTTAGCTAATTTTTAATCATGTACATTTTTCATTATCATAAGAGTGTAGAAAACAATTATATATAACCGTTGTCCTACAAAAGTATTTTTCTTATGGATGAAGTTAAACATTAATCTTTTTGAAGTATTGAGCTGTTAATTCATGTATGTTTGTCATTTTAAATTTAGTTGATACCTTTATAAGGGAAAATGGAAAGAGCTTAAAAATATTTAGCCGCTTATTAAATCAATCAATAAATATTAAAAAATAAATCAAGTAAATATATTTTCAAACAATTATTTAGGAGAAATTTGGTAATCAACAATAAATATACACTCTGTGTATAAAGTTAGGATTTACTTACCTCACTAATATAATAATTATAAGATTAAAGATTATAATAATCTTTTGGATGATAATAATGAAAATACGATTAATGTAGACCTAAATATTTCTTCGACTAGACAGCCATATCTCCTTCTCTGTTAAAGTATAAGACCTTCTCGGCGATGACAAAGAGCTTGAATGAGTTCAACTTTACTAGTAGTAATTTCAAAAGTAAACGGAGTATACAAAAATCACAAGCAAATTTGTGTCAATTTATAAAATTTAACATAGATTTTTAATTTTAAATAAAATATAAAATTAATTATTTAACAGATTTTATCGAACATGGTGTCATTTAAGAACTATTATGCTTTGGTTAGGACATCATAGTATGAAATTCTTCATAAGAAGAAGAAAGAACGTGAGCGTCGTCTGGGAATAAGAGAAGTAATCAAAATTAGAATTTCTAATTAGAACAATTTTGTAATGAGACACTGGAAAGAATCAAAAAGTTTGATCTAATATATGTATTAGATGTACGCATAGTCAAAGATGGAAATAATTAACTCAAGTTAAGTATGAACAATATCGATAAATTAACAGTTAAAGTTACCAAATTATAAATATAACTAGCTAAGTTAAAAAGTGAGTTGAAAATTGTTTTCATCATAACTAGTTTAAAAAAAAATTTATTTCATTTAAAATTAATTTTTCGGCTAAACTTTCTTTAAATCATTTTTTATTGGTCGGTGATGCAAGGGAAAGCTAAGAATCGATTTTTTAACTTTAAAACTGGTTATTAAAAAATAATCAGTTAAAAATCACATAAATTAAAAAAAAAATATATTTATTATTGTATAAATATATTTGGGATAAGTAAATATTCGATTTTTTTTTAATGAAACCACGTACGTAACGTATAAAGACATACATTTTTTATGAAACTTACATTTAGCTTAACTGTTATTTTATCTTATTAACCTGAAAATGCTAAGTTATTTTAACGGTAAATTAAATTAAAAAATTTGTTAGAAAAATAATCAACTAGTTTTGTTGAAAAGTTAAAAAAAATATTAACTTTTTAACTTTTAATGCCTACCATTGCATGTGGTGTTCTTCATAATAACAATTTCATATTATTAAAGTATGGAATTCCTCCTAAATAAGAAAATATTTTTGCTACTTAATAGTTTTACATAGTGGCATAATTTATTTACTTAAAATTATAATTATATTTACGTAATAACTTTTCATTTAAGATTCGATGTGAAGGTGAGAAAATATTTGTTTTATAATGAAATGTGTTTTGTTTTTTATATTTATCCGTGAAAATTCTCAATTCACACTGGACTGATTTTAATATGTAATACTTCAAAAGAACCTTATTTTAATCTAGTTAATGGAGCAGCACCAAAAAATGAAATAACTGCCTCAATTTTAGAGATTTCGAAAAATATGTCATTGTCAAATTTGGCAATTTTGAAAATAAATGTTGAGTTTTAAAAAGTCTATAATTTTTTTTTACGCAAAAAAAATATCTATGTTTTGTTTTACAAAAACTAAATAAATATCTTAAAGCAATTACGTAAAATGAATTAGTTAAATTATTAATTCACTTTTGCTGATATATTTGGCAAAACTATTACCTACAGTTTTATTATAATAATAGGAAAATAAGATAAATGTAGGATTTCATAATTATTAACATGTTTTGATAAAATAATAAGCGATTTTTCTCGCGCATGCGGGCACGTGTAAAATTGTTTTGAAAACTGAAAACATAGTTTGAAAAACTGACACTAAATTCTTAATTTATTTATTAGCTTCGATGCGAAGCTGAGAAGGTATTGGTTTTACTATGATTTTTTTTTTTTGTGTCTGTTACCACTTTTTCTCAGCTCTCACCGAACGGATTTCTTTCAACGATACGTCAAAAGATCACAAATCGTATCTAGTCGAAGACATTACCCTTCAAAATTGAAAAAATTTCCCTCGTTCCCCGTAAATGGGGGAAACCTCCAAAAAAATTACAAATTTAAAAATCGCTAATTTTCGAAATTTTTTCAATTTTTTTTACTAAAAACTGTCATAACTTTTTCAAAAATGAATATATGAATATCATTTTTTTTTTTATAGATGCTTGATGTCTTTACCTATTATTTGGTATATTTTTTTTGTAAATTTGACTTTTTGTCTGCCCAAAGGGGGGGATTTAAAATGACAACTTTTTCACAAAAAATTAACTTTTTCAACTTAACTTTTGAAAATGTTCCGGAAGGTCTGACACTTTTATATATATCTTAAATTAAAGCTAATGTAATATACTTTAATTTGAAAAAAAAAAATTTGACCTCTGGACTTGTCTTCACGGCGAAAATGGCTACCGAATGCTATTTTCGTGTGAAAATTCTCGATTTTATTATTTATATTATATTTAACTTTATAATGCTATAACTTATTGAAAAGTTTATGGATCCACACAATTTTTTTATGAGAAATAATATTTTTTAATAAACCCTTTTTCATTCGACATACTTTATCTTAATCGAGATATTAATAAGGAACCAGCAGATCAAGTAGCTTTTGGAATAAAACACCAATTTTTTTAAAATTAAACACTATCTAAAGATTTGCATCGAAGCGTTTATTTTTGATAGTGATTTTAATCACTGTCAGATATCATTATACTTGATCCAACTATGCCACGTCACCACTGTGCCGCGACCCCCCTGTGCTGGGTTTTTTTCACTGAAACTAAGGAGACTGAAGAAATAATTACCACTTACCTTTCTTTAATAGAAATTACTAAGTTATGACTATAGTTATGACATTAGCTTTGACGTTGATATTAATATTGATTTTATAATAGACAACTTGCATTATTAGTATCTTATATTATAAAATATTTCCATTACTAGGTCAACCAATGAAAAAAAAAAACAAAACAATTAATGAAAATCGCATTTAATTTACTAATAAATAATTTTTGTACATATTGTGAATTGTTGCGAGACCAATTCACAATACAAAATATGGTTACATTATAAATACATACATTAAAAAAAAAACTGACCACTTTAGCTACAATAATATTACAACCTATTAGTAATCATTTTTTTAAAGTTCTGAAAAGTTAAAATAAGGTCATTAAAGAAAACTGTTGTTAAGAAAGTTTACAAAAGAGAAATAAATTAAAATAACTTTAAACTTTGTAATCGTAAGTACTATTATGCTGTAATATTAATAATAATGTTATATATTTTTACGTTAAGTTATAATGTATTTCTCTGGATTAGAGGGTTGAAACAATTATATACATGTTTAAAAAACGAATGCACAGCAAATTAAAATATAAGACTTCAGATTTCTATACAATAAAAACTTTATACAAAAATGATTTTGTAAAAAAAAAAAATATATATATATTTTTGATTTACAAAACAAATTCAGATCACTACAAGTTAACGTACATTAACCAAAGTTAATAGCTTCGGTAATTATTGTAATCTGGACCAGTAAGTGTGCTCCGGTGCTTGACTGAGCGGTATTTGAACGGGCACCGATACACCAGCAGAAATCACTCCTAAAAACGTAAAGGAATGTTTATCTAATGTGTTTTTTTTAACGCAAATCTTTAAATTCAAATTAATATTTCGCTTTGTGAATAATTGGTTTTAGTAAATGTGCTATGCAAAGAAACTCTTTTAAATCGTTGTAAACATGAGCCGATCGTTTCCAGTGTATTTCTGACACTATCAATTAACACGCTTTATAATTAAATAATTAAAATGTTTACCAGTGCCTGCGGTAGCTCCGGGTGACGTGTTCGATGCGTGATGGTTAGACGTCGGGTATGCGGCGGGGTGGGTGTTGGCATTGACAGAATGTGCTGGAGCTGGTTGACAAGGTACTCGAGGAGCAGACGATACAGGGTGGTTATACAGTGACTCAGGTGGAGGATGGTGGAACATGTATGGATAAGAACTTGCCGGGTGATGATGATGGTGATGGTGATGGTGTCCGCTAGTTACCATACTCGACATGGAACTGTAAGGTTAACAATTGACAAACGCAAGTTATTAATGAAAAATATGTGTCGCTAGATTCGAGTTGGACGTTAGTTTGCTAGAGCTTACTTACCCATAGTTATCCGTTGACATAGTGGCAATCGGTTGAGATATAGACTGATACATATGATTAAAGCCAGCCGCTTGAATTGAAGCCAAACGATTATTGTGACCTCCCGGAGTGGCGATGGTACCTCCATTGCCTCCGCTGGCACTGCCACCCGCGTTCGAAGTGGTCACTGCCGGAGGGCTGACGGATGCTGAAGACGAAGAAAGTGCGGCCGGAGTGCTCCCGTTTTGCTGGTCCAGACTACCGCCTCTCCTTTGATTTCGCAGTTTTTCTTCGCGTCTCCATTTCGCTCTTCGGTTACTAAACCATACCTAAAATAGAAATGGAATACTATTTCAGTGACATCAAATACATACAAACCGACCAGAGATCAATACTGCACAAATCGTTATTGTACTGTTACCATTTAGTTAATAAACAAACCACTCGAATCGGAGGGCTTAAAAAGTATACTCCACGTTTTTCCGTTAATAAATTAGGCTTTTTACGTATCATGTGGAACCATTAGTATTTATTACAAACATACGCCCTACCGATGCATTTTATTTCCACTGTGTATATGTCTTTATTACTAAATGTATACATATAATCATTCAGAAGATTCACCGACGCGTAAAACACTCATTCAAACATAAATATATATATTAATGTGTTGTTACCTTCTGGTTACTAACGTGCATACAGAATGAAATTTTACCGTTTCTAGTTCTTAATTAAACTAATGATCTTGCCTATTCATATCATTAATTATCTTGATGGCTAGTAAAAGCTCGTACAGAACATATTTTAAACAGTAAACAGTTAATATACATTCATTTAACTTGTTATATTGTTTTTTGATTACTATTAATACAAGTATGCATATTTTAAATTACTCAATTAAAAGCTGACAATTAGGTTCATTTTTTAAATGTATTTACCAATTGCTCAAAACAAAAAAAAAAATGTCTCGTAAAAATAAATATTACAAATTGAACTTGTTAATCGACTTATAAGAAAAACCGAATAAATTGATAAAAAAAAATAAATTCTATAACTCATAACGCAATTATCAAATATTAATGTATCAATTGAAAAAAAAACCTTGTAATTTTTTAACTAATTCAGAAATTATGATGTTGTTTTTATTGAGTCCGCAGCACACTCCTATAATAGGGTACATTTAAAAGGTCATTTCCCAATGCCTATACAATTGGGGTAAGCTGAATACCAGCTTCGATTGTCCCTTTGCGATTGTTAAATTTATGGCCACCCCCACATATGTCTTTTATTATCATTACATAAGAGGGCGGATCACGATTAATCAGACTATTTTTGACATTGGTCCTCGATGTCCGGCAATAGAGAGGACAGTTTCTCAAAGACCTGCAACACGACAATTACCACACAGTGGTAATTGAACTGCCCTTAATGAAATTGTGTGGCACAAATAGATTATTCTTTTTTCTAAAACCGACTGTTACATACTGCCGTAGAAAAGCAATTTTGATAGAATAAAAACATCCTAACACATTCCTATATTCTTTCAAGATAATTATTCAAACTATTGTTATATATACAAGTTAACAATAAAAACGTATCGAAATTATCACTTAACGTTAAACATACTAAGGCAGTAAAAGAATATGAAGATTTTTCTATGCGCATTTACTTTATAGTAATCATCAATTTTTCGCTAATCTTTATAGTCCTTATTTAGTTGTATAGAATATATGAGGAGGGGAGAGGAATTTTAAAAATATGGCAATATCGTCAACCACTGGAATGCCGTTGTACGTAGCGAACGTCAGGCGGCGGTAACCAACCGCAGGCGCGCATACCCATAGAAATCCTATGAGGGGTGGTTACCCCTTTTTCAAAATCAATACCTCGTTGAGCCCGTGGTTTTCATTGTCGCCACCACTGACACCCGCTCAAAAATTTCACACCACAATAATGACAATATTATTTTGATGAAGTTATTATCTTAACAACGATTTTCTTACTTGTGTAAATTGTATGGTTTTTGTAATAACAGTTACTTAAACGCTTAGATTAAATAAATAATACTTAAAATGATTATGGATTTTTAAATAAAATTATAACGTAGATTTCTCTAATAAATAGTGATCATTGTAATTTAAATAAATATGTTCACTTAAATTACCTGAATTCTAGCTTCTGGCAGTGATATGTTGTCTGCCAGCCTTTCTCTGGCAAAAACGTCAGGATAATGAGTTCTTTCAAATTCTAAAATATATTCAAAATTTATCGATTAAAAATGTGAGCTATCAAAAACAAAAATATTTGATTAAATTTTGTTAGTTGAAAGTAAAATGTTCAAATTAATATAAATATTTCATAATAAAATTTTCCTGATAAAACAGAAAAAGTTAAATTTGGTTACATTCCTAGTGTTAAAAATTGTAAAATTATCGTTTTATACAAAACGTTTTTTTAATTAACTGAATATTTCTTGTTGCAATTTATCTCATAGCATATAGTAATGATTATTTTCACCTTTTTCTAAGCTGTCTATTTGATCATTGGTAAAACTTGTTCTGTTTCTTTGCAATTTTCTTTTCAGTCTAAGTCTTAGTTGGGAATCGTCGTCGGCTGAAGAGTTGTGCTCAGAGTTGCCATCTGACGTACTTTCAGGGGCTAATTCAGCTGCTATAAATCCGATAAACAAATAAATGTAGATATTTTTTTATAAATAAATAACACGAACAATATTTGTTGTAAATAATGTGTTACAACTGATCAAATTGTTCTACGTTTACTACATGACAACCATATAGTAAATACAATAGACATATTATTATTTAAAATTAATGAGAAAATTATTCTTAACAAAGCATGAAACTCAACTAATGAATTATTTGCGTTTAAAAGTTTTTTTCAACGGACTGAAAAAAACCCAGTCAGTTAATAAGATAAAAAAATTTATCAATAATTTAATCTTAATTATTACGTTTAATTATCGATAAGTTATGTATTAATATATGTCTAATGTACAACTATTAATTGTATTTGAGTAAGTAAAGAAACGGGTTTCCATTATTATCATTGTTTGTAACGATTGACATGTTTCATTACTTTTTGAGCACCTTGTATATTACAATAACACATTATATTATTCTGCATGTAAAATGTAACGACGTTATATTATAGACATAAATTACAGTTATGTGCCTGTTGAGTAATAATGTAGTTTCTTAAGTTACTATTTTATTAACTATAAATTATATTATTATAGTTCCTGTTTATAAACAATTGTTACTTGAAAATGGATTCATTCGTGTTGTGTCATTTTTCCAATAATATTTTACGCATTTTTAAAGAAATATTTGGGTTTATCATTAACGTAAAAAAATGTTTTATTTTGATTAGAAATATTACTGGCATCAGTTTTTTTTTCATTTTTAGGGACACAAAATTTAAAACACCATGTTAACTGAACAGAGAGTGCGCGAGTGTTGCATTTTGATGGGTGGCCGTGGTGTGTGTTGTGTAAGTGAAAGGGACAAGGGGATAGGAGGCGGTCCAAGTTGAGCCTATCGGAAACCGAGGGTCGTGTGCGCCGGGCCGGAAGACCAGCCCAGTCATTGTGCTACGACTGTCAGGCGGGCAGGGGGCCAGAATTTATACAGCATTTTTAATCTTGGATAATTTGTATTTTTATAGATAGTAAAGTGTAACCCAAAAATAAAAAACAAATCGATGATGAAAAGTTGGAAAAGTTTTTATTTTTTTTCCCCCAAAATAAACACCTTCAAGTAAAATACATTTGTTGTTTTAAATAAAAATGTTTTAATCTGTTGTAGACTTTTTTGGATTCCTAATAAATTAAAAGTGTTTCCCATTTTCGTTTATTGATGTGGTACTAAATATTTTTACAATTATGAACGTGTACTAGGTTATATAGGGTGTTCAGTAGGTAAGGAAATAGGTTTCTATTGTTCTTGTTGTCTGTAAACAACTGACCTGTTTTCTTACTTACTCAACATGCTGAATAGTGTAACTTGAAAAAAAGGAAGTTTGTTTTATTGTTTTATTATTTTTTTTCGATACTAAGTATATACCCAATTGAACAATGATGAATTTAATAAGAATAAATGGATTACCTCTTCGTTGTATGTCGTCTCTGGATACGGTTAGTGACGCTGCTGTGGCAGCCAACGACGCAGCTGGATTGCCAGGATGGTGGCCAGCAGATCCTATTAAAGCTGGATGATGTGGTGATGGAGTGCCTCCGTGGGCACCCGGTCCCGGAGGTGGTGGTGCTGCATACCAGGGCCATCCGGTTTGCCCATTGAACATACGCAATTTATCGTACACGGACTCAGCGGTGCCTCCAACACCACCGGCTCCACCACCGATACCACTAGTTTGATGAGCTGACGACGCCTGGTGTTCTTTTTGAGCTGCCAAGTTTCTAAGAACTCGGTTGATGGAAGACACCTATAAAACAGCAGACAAAATTAATTTCAATTACTAATACTAATTATTCATAGGAGTAAAAAACAATAGTCGTTGTTGTACAAACAATACACGCGCCAACACTGATCAATACGCGTATAGTAGTAACCTAACGTACATGAAAATGATCGGTCGAGCGAAAAATGTGGAAAAAAATGTTTAATCAGTTTGCTTAGCACACGGTCGCGCATTGTTCGTGTGCAAATCGGTGTGTTAATTTGGACAAATGCGTACGAAGGGGGTGGCCACCGTCGTATAATGAAGTATTGGCTGGCCAAGTCATTGAACAAACACAATAAAACAAACATTTTGTGTTAAAGGAGAGCGTTTAAAAAAAATAAAACAGAACCAAAGCAAAGCAACATGCTTACACGCAGAATGTACATAATATATTCTCTTATAGTTGTGCGGTAATTGCGAGCCTTTCAATAAAATAAGGGGGTTTGAAAAATATTTGTTTGTTTTTCAGCTCCAATGATATCAGTGTGAGTTAGTTTCACTCGTTGCTTATTCAACGCCGTCCAAACATCTCCTATATTAAAACCCCTCAAGGAATAACGATGTAGTTTTTCGACATGCAAACACCGGGCACCGAGACGAATACCGATTTTTGATGAGCTTTTTTTTCCCTTTAATTTACAAGCACGCATTGTGTAAAAGACGAGATGTTAATTTCACCCTATGCGAGGGTATAGAATTATTTTTACTTAAAAAAATTACTTATACCTTGTAAACAATAAAAATGTAAAAAAATCAATAAAAATAAAATAATGCCTGTTTATTTATTTATCTATTTCATTTTTTCTCTTGTCTTGTGTCGGTTGGGTTGGTACACTGCGCGCAAGGCCGCAGTAATGCTGGCACTTGATATATCGCACAAAGTAATCGAAACTTTCTAACTTCATTAAGAAATTGCCCAAGGTAAAATATTGTATCTTAAACGACAAGGATGTTGCAAAGTTCATGTTGAGATGAAAAAAAAATGAAATTACTATTATACACGTATGCCGAGGAGTATATTATGATATTAGAAGCCGAAATGCTTTTTGGACCGTGAAACGTCGTACTCGTTAAGTGTAATTGCGTTACGTAAACGGTTGCTGCCATTGCTGTACTGTGCGTAAGTCTTGGGGTTTTCCTGCAGTTTCTGACGCCGGTAGAGCCCGGGGGGGTGCCAAAAGCGATGACTGGGGAGAGAGAGTGGCGAATTGCCAGTGACAGCAGAGACATAAATCCTGCGGGATAAAAATAACGACAACGGGGAAGACTGATGAGGGGTAAACAGTTAAATAACAAGTGTAATATATGAGTGTAATACGACTATGCTGCATAACGTCGACCAGAGACGTTTTATGGCGATGAAGAGGAGAACTCCGCTAAAATTAACAGCCATCGGCCCACCAATTTACCACTGCCCCAAGCTCGATGAAATAACATTTTTTAAACACGAAAAGGTAAATATGTAGAGATTCAACAGTGTTATCGAACGGAGCAATCATTATTGCAAGTGTACTTAAAAATAAAAATTTATATCTCCAAGAAAATGTATTCATAAATTAGATTTTTTAAGAACGCCAAATATGAATTATTTATTTTAACAGAATAAAAATATATACTTAATAGGAAATGCCTATAAATCTTAAACAATGCTTAATTTAAAACAAGTGTATATATTTATTTAAAGATATATCACTTATTAAAACCAAATTAGTTTTATGCAAATTACCATTTATTTTTTTTTTGACTTAATACGTTTGACTTTTGATCAAACTTATGAAAACAGCAACCTTAGCGTTTACGTTGGTACTGATATTTATGCAACATTTTAATTACTTTACGTAATAATAATTCTATTTACTTCTTAGAATATTTTTTATCAAATAAATGATGACTTATTGAATTATAAAAGTGATTCAAAAGAAAAATATATTATTGATATGTAATAAAAATTTACTTGTAATGATCTCATTATAAGAGCTGGTAAGAATTTAATTAAAAATTATAAATGCAAGTTGAAAAATATGTGCAAATCAAATGTATAACTATGATTTTAGAAGAAATTATATGACAAAAAATATTTCTTATAATTATTCGTTATTTTACTACTGAAATCGTTTAAAAAAGCATTACGACAAGTTTGACTTTTTAATGTCCGACTTAAATGGAATTTTGCGGAAAATGGAATATGGAAGACTTACATGAATGATTCAAACGTGAAAGTGTCAAATTCAAGCTTATAATCTCTATTGTATGAAATTAATTATGCAACAGTACATCCATGTAATAATAAACGTACACAATATACAAGTTGTAGGGATGAGAAAACAATAGATAACGGATCACGCGTCGTATAATACTGATGTTGGATACACTGTTCATTGATCCGTTACACACGTGTAATTCGTTCATGAGATGTGAAGCGTGAAACACGTGTGCAACAATAAAATCTGTGACAATATCACATACACAAAAGAAATCTTCTAGGTCTATGTTATCACATCATATTAAATTGCCGAAGAACTAAATTATCGCTTTTATTTAATCGTCAAAGATAGCAGAAGCATTTACCTTTGGGTAATAAATTTGACATTACAAAACTGAGTAATGTCAATACCAATAACGAAAACCCTTACAATACACTGGAACAATTTTTCTTTTCATAAATTCAAATAATTTAAAATCAAAAAAAAAGACTGACGGTAAATATTTTTGTTTGAAATTGAACTTAAAAAGTTTAAGTCGATCGCATGCTATTTTGAGGGATTAAACATTAGTATATGCGATTACAATAAAATGTATTATTATATTGGCTTTGGTGACTGCAATATGTGGTGTATTGTGTAACCTCAGCGTGAAACCGGATTGCGTTTGTTCCGCGAGTTCGAATTGATATGATTATGGGCCATAGGGGGTACACGCCACAAAACGAAACAATAAAAAGTTAGAAGGGGTAGATGGGATTAAGGAAATTTTTTGATCACAAAAAAAGAGAAGAGGAAATGTTCAATTCGATTATGCTACAAAAAGCTTAAAAACTGCGGAGGAGACAACAATGTAAAATATAATATACATGCATATAATGTAAAACGTTATCCAGCGGGGAGGGAGCCTGCAGGCGAGCGTCAGAGTTTTCCGGCTGGCCGATTTTTCGCGTTTACAAGAGTAAATTTAGAAGCGGATGGTGTGACATAAGAATTTGGACAGGAGGGCTGTAGTGAAGTACAACGGGGTGTATAGATTTTAATAGCATTAGCTCTGTGTAATCTGGTCGACGGTAATTTGTAATATAATAATGTGTTAAAGAGCGTGCGCGCGTGTGTGTGGGAGAAAGGGACGAATTTAAAATCTATACTCATGTGTATGTTTATGTGCAAGGGCGGTAGACTGGAGGTTTGGGAGAGAATTCATTATATTCCGCGAAGGCTATGCCAACGCCAGATGGGCTAATCAGCTGATCTTTATTATGGACGACATTCTTCTGGACCATCCGACTGGAAACCACCACAGGGCGAGTGGTTTTGATACGTCAGCCTGCGTTTGACTTGGGATGGAGACGACCGAAAACCCATTTTTTTTTGTTCAAAAATTTAAAAAAACCCGATCCACGAGACGGGCACGGGATTTTGTAATCTCGCGGCACGTCTGATGTTAAGAACCGACGTTGAAAATTTCATTTTTTGTAACTCTAATGCCATATCAGATAAATATCAAATATTTCTACACAAACACGAGTGAAAGTGTGAGAATCGAAAATGTTCAAATTATATCTATTTTCGATGTGTATTACAATAGGATTAATATAATTAACTAGTTCTACATAAAGCGACATAAAAACAAGTAAAAAAATCAACTCCATCTAGCTAAAAAAGATGTACCATTAATATAGTAATTATTATTATTAATAAGATATCTAAAAAAATAAAACACAATAATGCTCTAATTTTATTTAGAATATGTTAATAAAGGATTTTTTTTTACAAAAAAAATTAAAAATGAATAGGAATATATTTTTGTAAGTAAATTCGAAGTAAATTTTATGTTTATTAAGTTCTATTCGGAACCACTGTAGTACAAGTAATTTCAATTCTAAAGAGCTTCGATCCTTTTAATTAACACTGACTCTGCGGTTTTCAAATGCAAAATCCGATTAAATTCCTTTCGGCTGCTTGGTGGGCTTTTCCGAATAACTGTTTTAACAATGGGCCTTAAATGTTGACAAGCCTATTATTTGTGGTTATCCAGAAGACTGGGCGAAAAAATAAAAAGTAAAAAATTCCGAGGGTGAAGGGTGGAAATTATGATGAATTAATTACATTCGATCGGAAAAGTTTATTTTGTTCACAATCATTGAAAGACATTTCGTTTTACAAAACTGTGCGGACTAAAAACATTTGTATGACAAATGGTAACATACAGTAAATAGGTAGTTAATAACCATAAAATTACCGAGTACTACCCAGCCGGCTTCGGTATGCAAGTAAACCTGACACCAAAATCATATCTAAGACCCCTAAACAGAAGACTTTCAATCGCACCCGACGAGTAGGGTGTGGTACGCGCTTTATTTTTTTGTTTTCTAAAACATTATCGTTGACGTTTATGTAAGCTCAGTGATGACGGATGACCCTTACCGCCGTCTCGGGGCTTCGGACACGTTTGACCCCTGTTATGCGATGGATATCAAAAGGGGAGCTCAAAGCTGTTCGTCTCTTGTCAAGAACTATGTACATACACACCATTACGTGTATTTATGTTACAGCGAGTACGAAAAAAAAGGCGAAAATATCACCAAGTGCGTTGCTAATGTCGTAACTGTTTGTCTAAAAACATTTACGGATGACACACTTACCACATTGAAATTTAAAAGCAACAATAGTTTACTATTTAAAGATCATGAAAATTATCAGGACCACGACGATTCTGCCGATACGGATCGATGTTTTAGGCTTTTCCCGATTCGGCCATGTTTTCCGCGGCTTTTCCGACCAATCCGCAATAATTTTCCACGCCCCACTGGTCGCCACGGCAATATTTCCGTTTTGTGTTGTATAATACAATACACCTTTTATATCCACCACAAGGTTTGTTATTCTTTAATGTCAGATCGCAATGTTGAGATTTTTTAAATATCAACTTCCCAATACGTTATTCGTGTACCAAATAGATAAACAAAATACGAGACGAAATTAAAGCGCTAGAGCCGTTCCAAGATCATTTTTCTGTTTCATTTATGATATCTTACAGTTTGTTGTCATCGAGTTGTATGGCTACTAGAATAAATACTACTGTCATTTAACATTTTTGATCGTAGTAAGAGTAAAATACTAGTGTACCATTATTTTAGTATTGCGAAACAGTAAATACTCGTGTGAAGTTTTTGATAATTGTTCCGGTTGGTCGAAGTATGCATTTGAAAATGGCATACGCAAAGAGGGAGAAAACCACCACCACCACCACACACTCGACATTGGGTGCCGCGGGGTAAGTTTAATGGCCCACATCCCAAGAGATCGCGGTGCTGCTATGGACACTTGAACACGCTTTCGTTTCCAAATCGTGTTTTTTGACCGTCATTTCTAATAATTCCATTCTCATTTTCTCTCGCATTTCACAATAATTGGCACTGCACCGATTGTTAAACTAACCAAATGTCCAATTACTGTAAAACCACCACAATTTATTCGAGTATTTCTTCAGCGCGATATTACACTACCGTTTCTTCGAGTGGCACTGTATGTCAAGTGTGTTTATAACAACCGCGGAACAAAATGCACACTTACCTAAACTACATGAATTTGTGTATCGCGAATATCTAAATTACAATAGTTCTCACGCTAAAAACGCATCAGACAATTGCAGAACTTATAATTCTTCATCGTTCATAATATTACTGTTTGTTTAGATGTTAGTCACTTGGTGTTTTCGTCTTGATTTTAAACCACTTATAAAAATGTATACAAAAGTTTAATTTTTCAACACATTTTTTTCCGGTATCCATCACTATACGGTTTACAGTTGGTTCTTAAAGAGCAGCGATTTTTTGACAGAGATATTTGCAAAACTGTACAGCTGTTGTCACTTGAAAAATAAAACATGCTGCTCGTACGATGGCATTATACACGGCAAGTTATCGTTGTCGTTGCGCTATCTCGTGTGGATAACAGCATAGTAGTTGTTCATAAGAAAAAAAAAATTACTAATGTACAATCATAATACTTTTTTCACAATAATACACGCACAATGATGATAGAACCGGACCCGCACAAGTGGCACTCCATGAAAATGTACATTCTTCGGCAAACGCACAAGAGGCCGGATGATCGCATATACAAGCTGATATTATGACTATAGTTTTGCCGTATAATACACAGACGCATGAAATATAATAAGAATCTCCTCTGTACTGTCCTTTTTCACTGCAGTATTAAAAAGTAATTCCGCAATAACCCTCCCGAAAGATATAGTGTGTGTGTATATACATTGTGTTAGGGATTGGGTGCGACAGCCCGTGAAAACTGCTAACAAAAGTCTGTATATATGAGCGTATGTTATGGACGTATACGAGAAACATTTTACGTTTTATTATATATGTTTTTTTTTGACAAAAGTATCTGTTCCGGGCAAAACTGTGGGCGTTTTATTGACCGAGTCGATTTAGGCTACTATGATTTTATTTTGAACCCACCGCGAAAAAGGATACCCTCGTGCATTGTGCGATAACAGTGGAAATTCAAAAATTATTTCAATTCATCCCTCAAAACACCGTGTGTATATTTGTACACATCTCGTACAATACAGTTTATACCAGTACGATTCATATTATTGGTGTTTTTCCAGCTTTCAGATTAAATTAAATGGCAAAGCAGTCGATCAGTTAAAGTGATAATAAATAGAATTTTATTATAATTTAATTATATGAATGTAGTTGATTAACCGTGTAATTCTATATTTTCTAGTTGAGAACCATTTAAATTTTTCGCCGGTTGTTTGACCATGTTAGATTTATGTTTCAGCGGCTTTCGTTGAAATAAAAACGTCTAATCAGTCAAAAATATGATAAATTCAGCCACAAATGAATTTAATTTTAAATGAAAACACCTACTGCCAACATGCGTGCGGTGTAAATAATTGTCGAGGACTTAAATAATACACTTAATTGATAAATTGTCAATACTCACACTTGGTATGTTATCGTTGCTACATACTCCTTCGGACAACAACCGATCCCTGATCTCCCATGCGAAGATGGACGGACATTCACGTTTGTAGTCGGCAATCTTATTCACTACACCATTGGTGGCTACGCGAGGCTTAGAGCCACCAATGGCACGCGGCTTTATCGAACCGGTTTCATAATACCTACAAGACAAAAAATAAAAACTTCTTTTACAATCTCTTTGAATAATTTCAATGGCAAAGGCGGCTATAATTAGAATGACAAGCATTGAAATATATTATTGAAACCGATGTTTCTTGTGTTTTATTAATCAATATATAGATATCGTGTTAAATAACACGGCTCGGATTAATTACATTATTTTTATATACTACAACGATAAACCGCTTGGAATGTACAAAACCACCAGTGCGTATTTATATATAATTAAAAAAAAAAAAAAACATTATTAGTTGACCTAACAGATAGTATATATCAATTAGTACCTTTGTACTCAAATCGAGTGTTTAATCGTAAATAAAAAAAATGTAATAATAACCGTTCAAATACACTCTTTAAATAAGAGAAAAAAAAATTGAAAAATACTTGATTCGTGATTTGTTTATGGTGAATTCGCAATTATAACATTGACTATTTCGACCAAATAACGAGTTCGGTTCAAATACAACGAGTGTCGCAAAATGCGGATATCCTCTAAGTACTACAATGTCATCACAGCGATTTCATCACGAGACACTTACCGTCCTAAAATTTTTGAAACGCATCCGTTGGAAACTTGTAGTATGCGAGATATGTCACACGGCCGAGCACCCGAATGTGCAAGCTCGACGATTCTTTGTCTGGTAGAGTCAGGCAAAGGTCTTCCGTTGACGTAAACACCGCCAAGTTGATTGATGCCACTGTGACCGGCCGCCGAACAACCGAACAGAGCTGCTGAGCTCTGCACCATCGCAGCGGCCGCTGCCGTCATATTGCAATGATCCGAATCGTCTAGATGAAAAGAAAAAAACACACATGTTTTATTATGTGACGTATAGAAATCAACAAATAATAATAGTATTAAAAATGATTGCAGTACAGAAAGAGAAGACCACACAAACGGTAGCCCGAAGTCTTCGCGTCCTCCCTCATCCCACACACCACACACCCAATTCGTGTGCAATGTGTACCCAACCGTGGCGACAAAAATATTATGCGCCGTTACCGTCGACGCCGTAGGTTTTCGATACAGTAGCCGTTTTTATTGTTCGACGCTGAGCAGGGAAGCAAATTGAATCTGTCACTCAACAGTAAAGACTGAGAGAGATAGAAAAAAGCATGTACACCCGGTGACAACGCCAACTGTGTAGGTTCCCACACGCACCGACTCGCAGTCGAGTATAAATTAATACATGCATTGTGTATGGTAATTAAAATAGAAGATTTATAAAGAAAAATTTAACAAGAAAAATACTACACCTTTAAGTTTTGTTAAAAAAATAATTCAATTTAGAGTGATTTTGATGAATAAAACAATCATGGAGGATTTGTGCTTTGACGCAATTTCATTATTGTTTTGTTATTGTTGAAAAAAGCCTTAAGAAAACTTCATCTACCCAACAAGTTATCAGGAATAACTATTAAAAAAGAAATATTAATACCCATTAACGATGTTAAACCATTATAACTAATACAAAAATTTACATTAGCTGAATTTTCTTTTTTTTTTTCAATCTCGTTGAAAAAAATACACAATAAAACTTTTTATAATGTTATATTTCATTATGGTACAAAGTAATTTAAGGGGTTTTAAAATTATAAAACGGATAAAAACCAAATGGATTCTGTATTTGTGGCTCCCTTATAAACACTGAAGGTTTCATAAAATCTTCTTAAAGGATTTTAATACATATATACATGCACATTTATGAAAGAGTTGAAGAGGCTTTACAACCCCACACAGGCATTTTGTATTGAGCGTGGGGGTATTTGTCACTTGTTACACAGTACATAAATAGTATACATTATTATGTTGGTAAAGCAAAAAGAAACCCTCTGTTCATGTAAGCGCCCCAGCACAATGTTTCTATTTACATCGAAACGTATTTCAGCAAAACGGTTTTTATTGCTTTTGAATTTAATTTCAGGCACTCGAGTGACAATTGGCTTTTGAGAAACATACGTGCGCTCGTCGGAGTGCACTCGACACATCAGTGTAGAGTCTGCTGCAGTGAAACAATCTGATTACCGACAACAGTCTGTTTACTGAAGTTATGACTTGAGTTTATATATTCAACCCGTTGAACTAAATACAAGTATCATCTATAATTTTAAAAGAGGTAGAAAATGTTCAGGATTTTGATTTTGTTAATTATTTTAGTAGTAATATACACTAAGAATACTTTTATTATGAAAGAAATAAAACTATTGTAGAAGAGCAATATACATGTTCGTAATCAAATTTTCATCACATAAATTTTGTTATGTTATTGTTGAAATAAGATTAATTTTCTTTAAAATAAATAATTATATATAAAATTTTGCGCTATCGATGTTATTTGTTTTATCGAGTATAAATTTTTATTTAAAGGGTTATAGGTAGTCAGAGTGGTGAAAAACGAGTTAAAACTATTAAAATGGTTTTTTTTTTTTTGACAGTTGTTTAATTAATTTTAAATAATACAAAGTCATTATATTACGTTTCAATTACGTCTAGCAAAATTTAAAAAATATATTTTATTGTAAACCAAATTATGGCTCTTATTTGATGGAGTCCCCTCAATAGTCAGTGACCACTATACTTCAAAAAAACCACTCGACGGATTTCAATGGAATTTATACAGCTTATTGAAAGCATACTAGTGACTGAATAAAGACTTTTATTTATGTTATTATTTAAAAAAATATATATATATTTTTATAACATAATAACTTTGTATAATTTGTCATATAAAATAAATCAAACCATTATAAAAAACAATTATTTCGAAAAACTCCTTTTTTTTACAACTTTCATTACCACCACTTCCTAACCCTTTAAATTGACGACATTTTGGAAAATGAATTATCTCTTATGTTTATTTTGCTAAACGAATTAATATTATATCAAAATATTACCAACTATTCATTGTACATTATTATTTTTTCGGTATTTATCCAATTCAATCACACAAATATATGGAAACTGATACCCTTAAGATCGTTCATTTATCAGAAAAGTTTCTACGAATTGGTTGAACAAATAAAATGTATAAACTTATAGAATTACTGCAAATCAATCGTCTTGTAACTTTTGTTTTGTTGTAAAACAATGATTTGGTTGAAAAAAGGGATAAAAAATTGTTTTTAGTTTTTTTTATTGGTGTAAACTTCATCCCGGAAGACCGCTTGTACACGCCTGCAGGAAAATTTATAATCTACTAGCAGTGCTCGTTACACGCCAGCCGTTGCGGTGAAAAGGTATCCACAAGCGTGCAGAGTAGATGGCCTAAAAGTCGGGTGAGGGCAAGACGAAAAGTGTGTGTCGTCCGGCCATTCCGGCTTGATGCCAGGCGGCAGTATAGGAAAGCGTTTTTCCGGCAGCACGTCCGGTAACCTCTCTTTGCACATTCCCCTCGCCCCCGCCCAGTCCCAGCCAAAGTAGTATCCCCTACGACGGAAATCCTACTTTTGCTCTGATATGATGGGAGGGAATCATCATCGTACGTACCCTCAGCGGACGTTACCGGGGCAACGTGCCACCGAACGCACGCGCTCTTTACAGTAAACTTAACGACCCGACACCTCCAAATATATATGAATTTCAGCAAAGCTACACACACAATATGCAAGTTCGATCGGTCGAGAATTCCAAAAGTGATATGAAGTACGTGTACGTCTACTTGCATGAATTCAACGCTATTGTATTTACTTCGTGATGTTATTGTTGAATTATTATCATAGAAATATCTATAGGAAAATTTACCATAACAAATGTGTAAATTATCGTGTTCGTTTTGAGAAGACGATGAAATTTTTATTTTAAGTAGCTACGATAGTTAAAATTGTACTTTAAAGATCTTTAGTAGATTCAGAACATTGTATCAGTAAACGTTCTACTCGAAATTAATTGCTAAATTCAATTTATATATATATTTTACGATTGAACAATGGCATATAATAATATCTTTGGCATTTTTGTAAGTCAATCTACCCGACGGCAAAAATGCGTGGGGGTCGTTGGAACGCCGTTAGAAATAAAACCACCACCATTGTTCAGGTGCGATAATCGGAGATGGAGAAATCGCGACTCAAACCCCTCAACTAGTCCCTCGAAAGCCTCTTATGTGCTCTTCGACGTGCGCCCAACACCTGTCTGTTGGATCCCGTGAGGGTGTGGATGCGGTGATTCAGGATGATAGGGTTTTGAATGTAAGAAATTATTTTCCAAATATTTCTGAATTCATACTAAATACAATTATTTAATACTTTTACATAAAATTTTCAACAGGGACGGTGTGCCCGAGTTGCTAACGCGGCAGTGTTTGATGTGCACTGTCTCGTATACGAAATTCGGTCACAGAGATCAGTTGTTAATTGGAGTCGCCATACCTATCTCCGGCAACCGAGTATCAATGGTTAAGAAACTTCTTCCTTTGGAGTAGGCCGCTGCTATTGGCTGTAGCGATCTACTTCAGAGGAAGAGGTTAATGGACTCAAAAAACCGATAAAGAAAACATTTTTAGTGTTCATATCTTGTTTGGTATTTAAACATGTACTTTTAGTTATTTTAACTATAGTAAAAACAAGGGGCTAATTTTTAACTAGAGTTTTAAAATTTATTGACAGCTTATCGAATAAAAAAATCATAACAGTGAACAATAAAATAAATTACTACAACTTGTGATAATTTTTTTGATTCACTATAGCTTTAACATTTTTTTTGGTGTTTTCGAAAGAGAATAATTCACAGTGAAGACGTACTATCAAATCAAAACGTACAAATATAATTTGGAATTCATACAGTTAATATTTTTTGTTAGAAAAGACAGCCGCAAAGAAACCGGACTACTTCTCTGATGTTACGGCGGCTTGTTTGTACTGAGTCTACACTTATATGTGCAGACAAAGATCTGAAGACGCATATGAAGACAGATGACTGTTACATGTTTTATTTCATATCAAGGTTATTAAGATATTTTATTTTTATATTATACTAATATTATTATAGATTTTTTTAAGTACAAATACACTTTAATACTCGTATGGAGAAGGCGGGTGCGGCAAAAAAATAAAAACATTGAAACAAGATATCTAAATGAGCCCGACAAAACCTCATATTATTATACAACCTCACACAGTACTGTCCCTTTCATGTACTCAGTGTCACATGTCAACTGATTAAAACTGGTTTCTATTCCTTTCCACTTGTTTTTCTTGTATTAATAATAATGTGTACTTTATCAAATTTCGTCATTAAAAGCGTCACTTTGCTTTGAATCGATCCTTCAGGTAAGCGACCAAAAAATAAGATAGCAGACAGATAAAAGAAACAAATAACAAAAACGAAGCCGATTCAAGATAATGAATTAATTTTTATACAACTCCAGTTGAAATCACAAGAAAAAAAGAATATGACATGATGTTCATTAATCATTTCATCAAATATATTCCAATGTTGTTAACGTGTATACTACATGAAAAAAAAATCATAATCTTTATATATAAAATGACAATTAACATTTAAAAGTAAATAAATAATTTGTGAACATTTTGTTTTATTGGAAAAAAAAAACAAACTCATATCTTAATGTTACATATCACAATTAAAATTTTTTATAAGTTATATTTTATTTTAATTACTAATTTCTGTATCAAACAAAAAATTGCGTATAAAATCTATTGTGTTATACGTAGTATAGAGTTCAGGGTCTTTCCTTAGGATTTTCACAGGGAAATAACATAATTTTAGTATAATTTACATAATTATTTTTGCAAATACAAGGTCCAAGCCTTAGGTCCTGCTGCCCCCTTAATGGAGGCCTTTCCTGATGGAGTTTCAAGCGGCTTATTTAGTTAGTCGGGAACTCTTTGTACCTCTGTGCTGTAGATACTGAGGTTCTTTTGCGTTACACTGAGCTATATAAATGTTTCTATTATCTCAAATGCAAGCCTAGATTTTATGAGAGGATGTTAGTAATAATAACAAAAATAACTTACCTTTATGAGGCATTTTCCAGAAAGGTTCGTTTTCTCGACAAGGGAAAGGCCCGAGCCCCCCCACCCCAGCTCCAAGCAACGTTTTGACGGACCCCCACGTCCCTTTTCCGTAAAGACCCAACACCTGAAACATAAAAAATACATTTTAATATTTTATACTATAAAATAATAAGATAAAATGTATTTAAATGCAGTTTAACTCTTAAGTAGGGCGACTTCGCCAATAAATGAACAGTTAAGAGTTTTTCATCTTTTAAAGTTCTCATTGAATTATATTTTAATCCTGCACATGAAGTTACTACATATTTTCTTTTGGAAAATTTTCTATAGTAATAATGTAAAAATTTTCATGATTAAGTAACACAAAAATTTTAATAAATTATTTTGTGTTGAAAATTCGAATTTTCCAGTTAAAATCGTATCAAAAGTTATGATAATACAGTAGGACATAATTTAGATATTTTCTTTGTTGTAAGAATAATAACTAAAACTTGTTAAAATTAGTTTAGACAAATTTTTGTTTAAAAACTCAGTGGTATTCGTTCACTGGTAATATTACTAGTATTTGCATACACTAGACATTTTTTTAAAATTAGTTTTTTTAAAAGTTATGATCTTATAATGTCTTATGTGGCACTAGTGACTTAATTGAAAATCCTATAAATATACATACTACATAATATTTTTATCCATAGGTTATATGATCCTTTAAGATGCAACTTAATGAGACCGAATCATTTTTAATACTTACTTAATAGAAAAAATACTCTTTAATGCTAAAATAACAAATACTTAAAAAACAAAAAAATTATACTTAGTAAACATTCATTGTTAATTTTTTTTGTTTTTGTTAATCCTTTAATATTTTGTAGTATGAAGTTTTCACTGAATTACATAATATAATACATTATGTAATTCAAATATTATACACAGTAATTCTTTTAACTTTGACTAAAAATTTAAGTGGGAGTTATAGTAACAAGAACTCCCACTAAAATTTTTGATTAACGTTAAAAGAATCATTGTGTATTGTAATAAGTGTAATTGTATGATATGAATATACAATACACCAAATGTATAAATCTTATAATTTTTACTAGAGAATCATTACCATAAACGGCACAATCAAGCACTTAAAATACTGTAGACTAGAAGTGGTGTGAAAAATATTTTTAATATTGTATTTAAATAGAAAAACAAATATTCTTAATTTATTTAAATATTTTGTATAAATACTTTCCTTGATTTAATTTCAAATGAAAAGTAACAATAGCCCATTAACGTGATAACAAAACTTTATACTTTCTATGATTATTAATTAGTCTTTAACTAAGTAACTCATGTTTTCATTTAAAAAATATTAAGTTATGTTGGAAATGTTGTTAATGAACCAGTAAATTTTAAATACCATATTTTATTAAAATGTCTAGTACAAAAAATAACAAGTAAAGAATAATATTATTTTTATTAAATTTTAACATAGTTGATATGTTACTTTTCCCGTGGTAATTCAAGGGATTAATTAATACTCATTTTCCTTTAAAAACATCGTTTAATAGTTTTTAACACAAACTGCAAAATACAAGGGCTATTTTCTTTAAATTGTTCCTGTCATATACACAGTTTCATCAGTAAGAAACGTTACAACCCACAAGTATTTTTAGATAAGATTTAAAATTCCTGTTATCCCTATGCTCCACAAATGCTAAATTGTATCCAGAAAACTGGTACAATGATATATCAAAAATTCTATACACATGTATATTTAATTCATGAATATATTTAAAACCAGTGGTTTTGTGATTCTGCCAGGCAACATTATCACTGCACGCTTACATTTAAATTTCAATAATTTGTTTATTTTTCTTAAGTATTAAAAACAGTATTTACATTTAAAAATATATACATATGTTAGATACATCTTAAACTTTTCTAAATACTTCGTAATTATTTAAACACATTTTATCAAATACTTTACGAGACTGAATACTAGATAATAATATCATTTGGTGTGGTAAAAGAGTCAAATTAACAATGACTTAAAGTTAAAATACATACTTGTCGAACTCAATGTAAAACCGCGTGCAAGTATAGCGCAGGGCGTGGAAAAATGCCAATTCAAATATTCGTTTTATATTACAGGTATTTTCATTCATTTAATTCCTAAGAGTTCTCAAATTTTTCATTTATTATGCAAGTTAAATATCTAAAGACGATATAACAACAAACTGAAAAAAATCGCCGATTGAGTACGTTAGCGTATATATCAGTTATTGATGATAAGAAAATATATTATATGTGTTTGAACACAAAGAACAAAATTGATTTACACATAGTATCCGTTGGAGAATAAGCGCCACTTCTCAATTCAAGGAAATAGATATGATGTACGGTTTCACTTTTCAAATACCGGCTTACCTATTGTGCGATTGAGTTTGTACATTAACAATGAACGGGCAAGTGTCAAAAGAGTAAAACACATATATTTTACGGGTTATCGAGAGGTCACACACCGAAACGGCGAAAAAAGAAAAAAACAATGTTTGAAAACGATTTTTATATTAAACAGGCGTATTATTTACTCTACAGGATCAAAAGTGTTCCTAATATTATTAAAAGTACCTATCGTTCAAGACGAACACAATGTCAATCAATAAAAATAATGTTATTCAGTTTTTATAGGTAAAGAAATCAGCCTTATTTTCGAGTAAACATAAAATGTATTTAGCAGAAAAAAGGTCGGAAACGGCGTATATTAAAAGCGTACGTGTTTACATTTTTCCTTTTTATGAGAATTAATGATTGAAATAAATATTCGAAAACCTATTGAAACTGTTTGCTTTAAAGAAATAAGTTCTTTTGTGCATTTTTAACTTTAATGAGCCCGGCGAATATCGTTTAATCACACACAACTTCAACTCAAATTGATACGCCGCATACCCATCGTACATTTATACTTGTACGTTAAATAAACTTTTCCCTAATGTATGCCTCTGGAACACAATATATATTTTTTTCACTCAATGCTTTACTTTGAAAGCACAAAAAGTTGTTGTAAAATATACTTACATAAAGCGTATGCTTATAAAATACGGTTGCAATGCAAAGCAAGTGGGCACTCGTCCTTACGGCGGTGAATTAATGTAAAAAACATAACCGGAGATCGTTTAAACACTAAGAAAAATAAATAAAGACCTTTTGCTGATCGGTCACACGAATTTCATTTGCCGTTGCCTACAATTGCGTTTTTGAATGCGCTCAGACTAACTCTCATTAGCGACTTCAAAAGAAACTACACGAGTACACTCGAACCACCACAAGTTTATTTTCGCATATATGTGCGGAAGAGATGATAAAAATAATAATTGCTCGGAACCGATGTAATGTAGTCGTTAAGGGGGCATATTTTATGTCCCCAACCGCAACCCCTTTGGTAACACAAAAAAACACACGGCGCAAACGAGTACGACACAACAGCACAGCATTATAATTTCCTTTGAGTATTTTTTTTTTCTCCGATTTGCACTAATTATCCGCGGCTACGAATTTGAATCGTGTTTTGATTACGACGGCACGCGACTGTACTGTGAATAACGGTGAGCTGTATGGTGTGTGTACAAGAGGGTGGTGGTAGTGAACATGCGTTTCGCAGTATCAGACCTAAATACACTTGCTTGGATCCCCGTTTTTATTTTTTTAAATGAATAACGATAACGACTCACAAAGGTTCTATAGTTTGACAGCGGCACCGTTACAAATCGGTTGTAATTTAACGATATGGATAGATAAACGCGTAACGTGTACAAACATGGAAAGTTCTGAATGACAAACTTTGAATTCCCGTAACTTGAATGGTATTTTGCAATTGAAACTCAAATTCTAATAACCGTTTGCTTATGCATGCAATTTTTTCCAACGCTCCGCCTACCCAAAGAGCGTCTCCCAAATATGGTTTCGCCCCTTTGCCTGGCACCTACAACAACCAGAACCACTAGCTAATATATTACTGTATCCTCCATGCGGCCACAACCCTACATTCTTATTATTATTCCTTCTTTATTGTTCCACTATTCTTTTTTATTATTATTGTTGTTGTCCCCGTTTATATTTTATGTATTTGGTCATGATGGTCCTCGCCGCTGCCGCACTGTTTACCTTCCGTTGCGCGAGCCCCTGACAATAGAGATGAGTACCCTGCGCTGAGGCAGATGGCGATTATGTGTACGTTTGTGTCGGTCGCTTTTCTAATACAGAAAACCGCCGGTGAAAAAAAACCCAACCGTTCTTTTATTATTATTGTTATTATATTGTCCCCCCCCCCCCCACCGGGAAAATAAGTCCCAGTTAATATTTTTATTACACAGGGACGTATAATTCGGTTAAATGTATCCATATAGAGTGATATAGGGCGGTAACGCAATACGGGAGGAGGAGGATACGTGATCGGTTGACAATGTAACGAAATTAAATGACAACAATAGTGCAATATTGATTGTGTGGTTTTTGGATACGTGATTACGTTTTAATAGCCTCCCCCAAGGAAAAATAGAAATTAGTATCTCTTTAGGCGGTTTATTTTTATACCAGCGTCCTCTGATCAAATAAAACACCACGGTATGTTTGTATGAGTGAGTAAATAGACGTTATTGGCTCGAGCTAAACATAAAAAACTAATTACTGTTTAAAATAAATTGTATCACAGTGGCAAATAACAGGTAATAACTATAAAATGATAAACGTTTATAATAATTATCGCTGTAAATTTTGATCACAAAAAATTGGAAACTAAAAAATGTTCAAATTAATAGAGGCTTTAGCACGTTTATTGTTCTACCTAAAAATATAAATTCACAGTGTGCTATAAATTTTACAGATGAGTTCAATTTAAAACGGAAATGTTAAACATATATATTTTATAATACTAATTATTATTTTTACATATTAATTTCTATTATAAATATTAAGTAAATAAATTACATTTTATAATCGTTATAATTTTCATTTTTTTAAATAACTTATTTTTAAGTGTAATTATTTCAAAGTTACAAAGACTGAACAAATAAGCGAACTCTAGATGTTTTACGTCTGGTTTTGTGTTAAAACTATTTTGTAAAGAAATTTCGATTGTATAATTTAGTTCTTATAAACTTCGTATATAAAATTAACATAAAATTTCATTTTCAACTACTAAAATAAACTATTACATTTTTTGTGTATACCATGAGAAAATATTACACTGAATAATACAGTTTATACAGTATACAAATTGTAGATCCATTAATTGCAATATAAGAAATTAAAATAATTAACTATACATTCTAAGGAAATAAAATAATGTTTTGAAGTTTGTAAAACAAATTGCAAAGATCACATACCAGAATTTTTTTCAGACTGATTTATAAAACGGACCTCTTAATAATATCGATACGATAATTTTTAAAAAATCAACAATATAAGGAACTTTATATTTATACATAAAATTCATTTAGGTAGTTATATTATTTATGATTTTAATGGAAATCTAAAATTTTTTCAAGTAATATTTAAAACTTTTAAAGTCGTTTAATTGTATAAAATATTAAGAAAAAATATATCTATACAATACAAAAATTTTTTAATTATTATACTAGTATATTGAAAAACTGAATCTTCTATTTATAATTTTAATGGAGTAATCAAGTTCTTAAATTATTACTATATAGTTTTTATTTTTATTTTTGACAAATAATATGTATGTGTTTAAGTTGGGAAGTTTTCTTGTTTGCAGTGTAAAAACAGAACACAAAATAAAAGCGTAAAGTGTATTATTTTGACAAGAATTGAAAAATAAATAAAAATTTTTTTTTCTGTTCATATTTTTTTAATTGTTGAAAATCAATTATTGATGAAACAAAAAGTAACTGTTTAAATGATATTTAGGTGTTATATATCAGTTTCCTTCGTGTCTAAGGTTGCAGACACAGTGTCTACAGTCTAGACTAAACAAGATAATAAATAACTACGCTACCTCATTAAGTGTTGTGATAGTACCTGTACACTTAATTGTACATTCAATTACTGAATTGACGATAATCGGTTTCAACTTTGTAAAATTAGTGATAACAAAAACAGAACAAGACCTACGGCTAACGTTAAATGTTGAGACATGTAAATTGATAGTATGAATACATAGCAATTTTTCTGTAGTGTAAGGCCATGGCAATGGAGCGGAAAATTTTAATAAGTGTATCCATTCTGATGAATTCACATAGAACTTAACAATTTAATAAATATTAATGCAAAAATAAATAATTAATGAAGTAAACTTTTATTTTTTAGCTTGCAGAAAAGTTTAAGATAAGATACATTTGCGTAAATATGATGTTAACATAACTGCCTGAATACTGAATTTTCTTCGTCAATTATTAGATATATAAAATGCATTTTCATAGATGAACTAAAACGAAATAAGTGTGGAGTAAAAAACTACACGTATTGAATTTATGGAAGTTCATTTTTCTTATTAGACTGCATAATTTTCATATATTTATTCGAACAAATTTACTTTTGAGGCTTTGGATGATTTTTTATTGGTACCGTAGAAGTTAAGAAATTAAGTAATTGAATTTTTAAACTTGAAAAAACTGATAATATTTTAACTGATTATAACTCAAAAAAAAATTCTGCTAATGTAAATATTGAATGTAGAAAAACAATTAAATATATGAATATCTAAATTTATATAACTAAATGTATTTCTGCATGTCCAGTGTTTATTTATTTATGTTATGTGTTGGCTACAAATTTATATTATTTTTCTGGTTAATTATTATTTATTTATTCACTAATTTTCTGTCGTCAAGGATAAAAAAACATACTATAAATATATAATTAATATTCGTAAACATTTTTTTAGAAAATAAACAAAAGCTTTTTAAAAAGATTTAAGGATTTAACCATTTTTAATTCACTTTTAGTTTGATCAAGACGTGCGTATATAGAAATTTAGTTAAATTTATTTCGAATTATTAAAACGGATTGATAAATTATGGAAATTTAAAGAAAATTTATGAAAGTTATCCACGATGAAGCTGATTTTTTCTTAGTAATTAATAAAGATAAATTTATTTAAAACTATAATTATAAACATTGCAAAATATAACAAAAATAACTTTTGACTTTAACCACAGGTTTCCTCTAAATATATTCAAAAGTATGAACATTTTCGAAGTATTTATAGCTTTGATATAAGTTTAAAGAAAACATAGTTTAAAATTCTTAGTTTGTTACTAAGAATTTTAAACAGTCACCTCTATTGTTAGTCTGATATTATAACCTTGCGACGAGCGATTAATTAAATTGCATTTCTGTACATTGTTTCAACTTTGTGATAAAATTACCGAATTAAAATTATTTAAAATTTTAAATTTGAATCTTGAGTATAATAAAGTTTAATAGAAAAATGGTTTGTTCGTTAAACTCAAATATGAAAATAATACCGATATTTTAATACTTATATAATCGCTCAAAAATATTAGATTATTTCCAAATATCAAAGTACGTCTGTTTATTCATAAAATTTAAGTTTTAATCGTTTGAATGTACAATATTTTATTAATGGCGTGTTGTTGTAACAAACTTTTTAATCAACGTAAAACTTATCCAATTACTCGGAGAAAATATTTAGGGTTTTTATCGAGATCATTTAATTAATCAATAATAATATTTGTGAAATGACACGTTTTAGTTTGATGATAATTTAACGGTTAGGTAAACGTGCACCAAACGAACGAACCATATAATATTAATGGCGCGGATGGAAATTCAATCTATTTAGGTACTCGGTAAACGGACGTAGTGTAAGTATACTTACATGTTGATCGTTTTCATAGACATACATTCGCGAAGACGATATCATCGACATGGGAAAATAATCGGAATGAGTAAAATCGACGGTGCTCGCGGAGAAACTAATTAGTTATCGCGTGCTCGCTTAATGAAGCCAACATAAAAATATATAGGAAAATACATGTCTGACTTACCAGTAAAAGGTCTGACGATTTAATGCGTTGACCCTCGACGCATTCGTTGCCGTTATCACGTTACCACGTTCGGTTACAACTTTGGATACCGTTGGTATACTAATAGCGTACTTATATTGTTTTTATACACTGCGGGTGCTGTGCACGAGCCGACCACTGGACTACTGGTTATTATTATTTTTTTTAACGGTAACAGCAATACCACGACAGTGTTGGCGATCCGCAAGCGGCCGAAGCGCAACTCGAAGTTGGCAGCAAACAGTCAAAATTATTTCTCGGAAAATCGGCGGGACTCGACTGTTGTTTTGGATTCGTTGTATTTTTCGCGTTCGCACATACCTATACGCGTACACACTCGTTTGACGTTACAGTTTGTGTCGGTTGGAGAGAGAGGCGATCAACCGAGACGGACTGTGTGTACGGTTCAATCCACACGACTGCGTACGTCTGGTCCGCGGTGGTGTCTCGCGGGCATACGCGCTGCTCTTCGGCTGGCACTAGCGCGCGCCCGACAAACTCCACCCCGCCCCGTCAGGAACCCCATCGGTGGGCGGAGTCCGTCTACGGAGCCCTTGTGTCCGCCGCGCGCTCGGGTGGCAGCGCCAAACCGCGTCCCTTGCGCCGTCACCCGTCCGCGCGCAGAAACCAAATGGTAATAATATTTCATCGAGCAATATTAATTGTAATCAAATCACGCGATCATTATAAACGATTCGTCGTCTCAATTAGATCGTCTCATCCCCTCCCAAATCGACTTTCGATTCTTATAATTTGATTTATCAGCAACTTTTCCCGTCGTCATTAATAATAACGGCGTGGAAATCCATCTGCAAGTATTGTTTCTATAGAAATCTAAATATTGCTGTTCGTATACATTTCGTTTTAAAAAACCGAGTAGTTTTTCTAACGTTATGGTTTATCAAATTTACGTTCAAACTGCAAGAAAAACAACTCCGAGTCACACACAAATGTATTTCAAATATAATCTGTTATTATTCTAGTTTTCCACCGTTTTCCTTTTATGTTTCCAAAAATTACGTTTCCACTACTCTGCGTGTCGANGTATTTCAAATATAATCTGTTATTATTCTAGTTTTCCACCGTTTTCCTTTTATGTTTCCAAAAATTACGTTTCCACTACTCTACGTGTGGAAAAAAACATTGAATTTACTTATATTTTATGTAGTCTCAAGTGGCAATAAAAAGAAGTGTTACGATTAAAGGTGCCGTTGGTGTTAATAACGAAAATGTGAGAGACAACAGAGATGTTTTTTATGTTATTTCGAATCGAACACGGCTGTCTGTTCAATATCAGTTGGACGCCGTATTATAATGTTGCAGCAATCGTGATTAGTAAGCCGTTTGGTACACAGTACAACGTGTACAGAATGTAATGATATCGAATGGAGTGTGCATTGGATCGTGAAGAAATGCAGTTATACCTCCTAACTATATGTATTGGTAACTGATACAAGACAATACAGTACACGCGGTCCAAATGAGTCAACGACACGTAATGTGTTTCCCTGCGATCAGAAACACCACCGCGGACGTTCCCCTCTTCCTATTTCCCATGCCATTAGTGCAACAGCACACGCATCCGAATTATGAACACCTCGCAACACACGAGTTAACCGGAGCATAATATTAATAACGTCGGCGGCATTTGTGTGTCTGCGAAGAACTCGAAGCAGTTTCTCTTAAATTTTTGTATATAATTTTTGGGGCATAAAGATATTAGCACTTTCGCGTTGCATTCACCGGAGGTGTTGCTGTAATAACGTGGCAGGTAACTTGTGTACGGCTAATGACAGAAAAGCTACGGTACATTTCGAAAACTATTGTGATCATCTGCAAAGTGTATACTTTCACCAGACTTTAATGAAGTACCAACTCGGTCGAGTTAAATGAACCGCACTATCGCTCTAAGAGAAAAACAACATTTTTTACACTGCACACGAGCGATCTATAAGTGAATTATCATTGTGTTCACCTTGATTTTTATAACGTATTCTCTACAACCGCTTATGTATGCAATTCTGTTTTGGATCACAAGAGAAATATAATATTTCGCTTGGTTTTGAAATTCGATTTTGTAATTTTTTTTCAAATAGAAAATAAGTTTTTTAAATTTTATAAAAAAAGTAAAATAAAACAATTTTTAAGTGAAAACCCTCTTGGTTTCATTGGACTGAGCAGGTGTAAGTAAAGTGGATGTTTTTTTAAATTTTAATTGTCACATTTTAGACACGTGTTTCAAGTGAGAGATTATTTTTCAATAACAAAATGTTATGAACGATAAATACGAAGAATATCAATAGTCATGTATACAGGTGCATATTTATAAACACGAATCTCTTTAGTTGTAAATATTTAATTATGAACCATAAGGTGACCGACTTATAGTAATTTTCGAGATGTGTAGCTACCGTTAAAGATATGCTAACCCGTACGCAGTTGACTAAAGAGAGATCAAGTGGCTACAATTTTTTATCGGGTTTTAAATTTATTTATATGTGGTACGACATAAATTAAGTTCTAAATTATATATTTAGAATAAAAAGTTTTCGTATTTAGTTGTGTTTATTTTGAGTAGTAGTATTTAAAATCGTAAAGAAAATATTTTCGCCACATTAATCATATGAGTTTTTATTGCGCGGGCTAAATCTTTTGACGCTTGTCACTCGATTTCTCTTAAAATCATAATTATATTAAACATTTTTCTTTTTACGATTTGATAGTTCATACATTTCTTGATTAACTATTAAGAATTGTTTTAAATCACAACATATATATTTTAATAGTTTATAAAATTCTTAAATGCACTAATTAAGAATATGACTGGTCAATAACAACTTTTGAACCGGTACTTTGAAAGTTTCAGCATTTTTATACCTAAAGAGGAAGAGGGTTGCGGCCGAGAAATATCGAATGATAAACGTTGTCATATTCGCACATCACTTCCAATCAATATTACAAAATAGTAATAACCTCCCGAAAAATAGGTATAAAATTGTTATCGCCAATCGTATTCTTAATTAGTTGAAATTTTATTTTATAGGTTGCACTGTTAAAAAAAATGATCGAATTTTCACATACATGTATTGGTAGTTTTTAACCCATACACAATATAAGAGAACATTTGAATAAATAGTAATAAAAATGTTATATGTATGTACAATATTTTGATAATTTATGTCAAAATTAAACTAGATTTGTGTGAAATTAAGAAAACAATATATTACAAATATCGTACTGACGTATGGGATTTTTTGGATCATTCCAATAATGTAGTTAAATATGTAAACTGGCATCTAAAATAATAAAGTCGAAATCCTTAAAAGGTACGAGAGATAAAGTAGATAACAATTTATAAATCAAGAAATATATGAAAACTAACAAAAGTAATTATGTTAAAAAAATAATATTGTAAAAAAAATCGATTAGGGTTTTTTAATCCTAGTGACTCCTACAGGGTGATTTTTTAAAATATTTAACTCTGTAGAAATGCTTATAAAAGCTAGTTGGACGGGCTCAATAAAAATGTTAATGTAAAATAATTTTACACTAATGTAAAAATTAAAATTTATAAAATGTAGTATATTTTTTTACCGACGATAAAAAAATTTCTTTTAACTTTTGTTTAATTTCATGATAATTCTTTATTCTATTCTGCTCTATTACATTTTACGCCCACATCAATTATGTGGGTTATAGTCAAAGGCGCCATGGGGTACTATATAGGTTTTAGACCCCTAGAAATTTGGAAATTTATTCATATTTCAATATATAATACGTCCTTTGTAGGGGAAAATACAATTAAAATTTAATCTAGTTGCACCTGTGGTCCCATTAGCTCTCCTACGTATGTTACTGTTTTACACTGCAAGTCTAAATGAAAAAGTCAGTTAACTAACTTTAACCAACTTTTTAATTGAAGTAAATACCTTAATATCAGTTTAGTAAAGACAAAATGGATGGGGTGCGCGGGTTAAAGGTCATAAGTCCATTTTGAATTTCTGTTTTGTATACTTTTATAGATATTTAAATCACTTAAAATGAAAATAAAAAAATAAATAGTTTTCGCTATTGAAAAAGAGTTGTATATGAACATTGCCTAAAATCTTTTAAATGCATTTACTTTCAAAAGAAAAAATATCCGTTGTATCGATTATGTTTTTTTTTTCTTGAAGAGTGATAATTGTACTTGGAATTAAAATGTCGGGATCTTTGAAATCTCAGCGGAACCACAAGGTATTATATGTGCATGTTGGATACGATATCTTTTGTTGTACCACGACCGTTTAATTTTAGTTTTTACCGACTGCGCGGATCCTTTTGTCATCCGTCGGTGGCGTTCCGTACCGTGTGTAATTTGCGGTGATTTTACGGTGAATAATAACAATAATCATAATAAGACGATGAACAACAATAATGATGAAAAAATAGTCGCCCGGCGCTTTGTAAAAAGCAGACATGATCCACATCGACGCTTCCGTATTGTGTTGTGCACTATGAGTTGCAATGCCAGTGCATAGGACGGCGGCGGCGGAACAGTCGGCAGGACCCGACAACGTCATTGGCCGTACGATTCGGACCAATTACTTCCAACCGAGTGAACAGAGGCGGTCGAGGCGACAACAATTACGACCGAGAGCGTCCGGTAGCAACGGCAATACGAATTGCACTGTGTTCATTAACTCTATTTTGAATAATATCTATTTGTGTTATCACTTTTTATCTAAATTATGTACGTCTAACATTAACTATTTTCTATAACACTGTGCACACGTTTTACTATGATTTATCATAGTACAATAAGTCCGTTAACAATTATTTCTATTAAAACCACTAGGCAATTTAGATAAATTAATACTATCAAAATATTCCTACGAAATACTTTTTAAAAATATTCTCAGGCAAATATTTTAAGAATATCTCGTGAACAAAAAAAAAAAATTCGGTTTGAAATAATTTCACAATATTCACATCAAATAAAAGTTTTTATTTTCTTTATACATTTTGAGAATTTGTTACAGAGAATTGAACTAAAAATATTTCTACAACGTCCTATAAAATGAATTTTTAAATGTTTGTTGGAAAATTTTTAATGATAATAAATGTAGAATATTTACTTTGAAATATTTATATAATGTAATTCCTCAATTTTTATCAAATTCATTTTTAGTATCTTGGAAAATGATTTTTAAATTTCAGTTACAATTCACATAATCTTTTCTAATTTTATTAGAATGTTATATTAGGGGGAAAGAAAGTTATTAGTTTTTTATTTTTTTGTGGGGACAACCAAGTCGATTTAATTGATTAACTAACTTTTTAATTTTCAATTTGGATGCTTATAAATCTAGTTGGTTGAAAGTAGATTATTTTATATTATATACACTGAGTCCTTGATTTAAGTAAATTGCCGTTTTCTCTACTAAGTGTTAATTTTAATCGACTTAATTATATTAAGCAAGGCAAAGTAGGGACAGCAAAAACTCCATTGTTGCTATTAAACGCAGGTCTATACTACCCAGTTAAAATACTAATAATTTTCTTAGTCAGTCTTCAAATATTTGAACTAATTATTATATACGCTGTCATTTCAAAAAAGTTAAATGTCACCACTATAAGGTATAAGGAATAAATATAAAATATAATATATACACTCGTGATATATTATTTCATGAGTGTTAAATTAAGAAAATTATGTAACTAAAAGGAAACAGTAAAAAAAATTTATCAATATTATAATACCTGATAATATTTACATCAAAATTATGTTATAATAATGTTTTTATAATATTATTTTCTAATTACTATCAAGGATATTAACTACAGGGGAATTTGATCTACTGATAACTATTATAACTTTTGACACAATTAACATTTCATAGTATTTTTTTTTTAGATTTTTTTTTCTTAGACTGCGTTAAAATGATATTTTGTGTTATTTGTTTCTACAACAAAAAACATTTTAAGAAATGTTTAATTTAAAATATTTTTAAATTTTTATGTAGTCATATATTGCATTTTTTTTTTTTT